TTCTTATGAGGGAGACATTCACTTATGTTCAGGCAAACAATAAAACAGTCACGTCAAACTAGTCAACAGTCCAAACAGTTTCCCTCATTCCAGTTTATTTAAAGTTTGTGATGCTCCAAAATTCCGATGACCTGGTGACCCACTTTAATACACTTTCGACAAGGACTCTGGTGCTGGACAAGGCTTAACATGCAGACAGAGAATCAGCCCACATTATATTAGACATAACAAGCACTTGCTCTAATAACAGGACAAAAGCAATGACTTCTGGTTCGATTCCTGAACGAACCCACTGACCGTGCAGTTCCACTGCCAGAAATTCCACCGAACTGATGGGAAACTGGCATCTGACCTGGCCTTGAGCATTAGCCAACAAAGGAACTCTCCCAGGATTCTTACAAAAACACAGCAGTCTGTCCCAACGGCATCTACCGAAACCGCTGTGCTCAGCACAAAATCACATTTTAGCAGCGCACTGCTCTCACAGAAACGCTGACAGGGCACTGAGAGGAACAGGAACACCTCGTAAAGGTACCTGCCTTTGTTCCCCTGCCCAAATTGATCGGTCATGACAGACCTGAGAAAGTGCAGTGTAACTACTAAAAGAGTCGTCAACATTAAAACAACTCATGATCCGCTCCTACTTAAGGATTCAGATCTGTGAGACGATGCCATGAAGTCCATTAACGAGAGAACTGAGAACGAAGCTCAGAGCTACGCTCTGATACACTGCAACCAGACACCGGCCTATCGTCAATACAGTTATTCTTACAACAGGGATGAAGTACGTAGCAGAGAGCAGAAGTGCTGGATGAGGGTAGAGAAAAAGCAGATCTGCTTAATTGCTGTGGTTAATAATGTAATAGTAGCATTAGGAGAATCTATGCAAGACACACCCTGGTCCACTTTTAGGGGAGAGGAAAAAGACCCACCCCTTCTAACAGGCTGCATATGCCCTGATTGAGTTGGTCAAGTTAGACATTAACTTTAAAAGATAAAACAAGCTCCCCCTCTTAGAACGTCATCAACAGCGGTAAAATTGGTCACAAGTCAGAAAAAAGGGCAAGTTAAGGTCATTAGTGAAGGGAACGGAGAACAATGCAAGCTCACTTCATTTTATAGGTCTTTGCCCCGATGACCAGTGATAGCAACTGATGGCCCAAGCAGATACCAAACACAGGTTTGGGGTTCTCCGCACACACGACCTTACGCAGGTTTTCTATGGTCTCCTTGCAATACTGAGGGTCTCCTGGGCCGTTACTGATAAACACGCCATCAAAGTCTGGAGAAACAAACAAACAAACTTATCAACTCTCAATACTGATAAAAGCTCAAACAGCAACTCTAAACCTGAACTTAAAGAATAAAGGCAGAATTAAATTCAGTGCTGCTAACCTGGCTGACAGTGAATGAAGGCTAGCAGTGCTTCTCTACATGAGCTACATGGGAACTTACGTTTTACTCATTATTAGCCAAAACCTATTTGGCTGAACTGTCCAGTTTAGGATTTTGCAATGTATTACTCACCACTGACATCCAGAGGGTGATCCCAGGGGACCAAGGTCACCCGTGCGCCTCGCTGGCACAAGCAGCGGATCTGATTGTACTTAATTCCACAGTCTACTGCGACGATCCTCAAAGTACCATCCGGATTGAAAACCCTGGGCTCCTAGACGGGAAAAACCCAAACACACAGATCTTTGGGTTGGGAATCTGGAGTGTGAGATGATCACCATGTAAAAGATATACTGAGAGGTATAATGCTGAAGTCATACTTTCAAGGACACTTCTTTCACCAAGTTCCGACTGTCAGGATTGTCAAAAGGTATGTTCTCAGCTGAGGTCCCTTCAACCACAAGCTTCCCCAGCATGGTTCCCTTTTCTCTGATCTTCTTGGTCAAGCAGCGGGTGTCCACTCCTTTTTATACACAGATCGGATTTAGATTAAAATGGGGTAGATATTCAATAGATGTCCTAAGTAGGTGTCTATACTGCTATACAGCCCACTATAGAGATGAGCCATCATAGCCATCACCCATTACAAGGAAATGTCATCTCACCCTCCAGTCCAGGAATGCCCTGCTCTTTGAGCCACTGATCTAGAGATCTGGCCGAGCTCCAGTGGCTGGGATTCTGAGAAAGCTCGCCAACAATGAGGGCAGTGGCGTGGATTCTGCCAGACTCAAACCACTGAAAAGTGATGTGGGAGGGAATTAAAAAAAATAAACATACAGTCAGTCAGAATCAAAACAAAGCATGATGTATTTTCACTGCATGTAAAACAATGAGAGGAAACTCTAATCGTGCACCTTGCTGAGCCCAAATTCACCATCCTCATCATTAGGGACACCATAGTTCCCAATCAGTGGGTAGGTTAAAGTTAATATCTGGGCCTTGTATGAGGGGTCCGTGAGCGCCTCCGGATAGCCCACCATTCCCGTCTGGAACACTGAGGATAAGAAATGTAGACATGTTTGGTTATAAATAAGCATCACTCGACCCTGTATGTGACTGTGCTGTGCTTTATCACTCTGAGCCACTTCAGATCACATATACACGCGCGGGGTCTGGTTATGATGGTCTTGGCTTTATTTGAAGGTAAGAGTTTTTTTGTAAACTCAAGAGTGAGTCAAGGAGGACAGAACTCCGTCACCATATGTCCATCATTATTCTCAACCTGCTTTCCTATCAAAGCAGAATAATCCTTACTCTGCTGGGATGAACTACCATCGGTTTACTTATACAGGGTACCTGTTCATGCCGGCCACCGAGGGGAACTTTGGATTGGATTACAACAAAGTTAACCTGCTACAAAAATCTAAGCCAAATGTCTCGTGGGGTCATGAGTAGCTGGTTAGCTAACAGAGCTGCTCTGATCAATAAAAGCGCGGTCAGATGAAGCGAGTCAGTTTCAGAGGCCGCAGCCGCTGCTGCCCAACCCCATCAACGCTTCGGTGGCCTGAATGATCCGCGGCCGGACCGGGTCAGGGAAGTGTGAGAGAAACTAACGGAGCCGCACTCCGACATCATTCAGCGCCAAAGCCGCACACGTGGGGCTGCTCCACGCTCAGTGCGCAGTTAGCAAGGCTGCTAGTGTTCACACCACGTCCGTCACTCAGATGAGAGCGGGTCAATCCGGATCACAAGTGCGACCCCGCGGTTTAGCAAATTGATTATTTTTACCAAGTTAACTAAAAACTTACCCACTTCCCCCGACGCTGGCGCGCGGGCCCCAAACAGGCGGCCTTTGAAGGCGGTTCCGTCCTCCAATATCAAAGATGCCGTTTCCGCCGACATATTGAACTCCAGCCGAACCCAAACGCAGAGAAATCACGGAAGATCTTCGCTGTAAAGTCGCCGTTTAACCCGATGTTTATTCCCGCGTCGACTTTTTCCGCGCGACGATGGAGCCACGTGAAGCGCGCGCCGCGGGCAGACGTGCCCGGATGCTGGAGGTGGGATTTCGCTAAGTACACAGATGTTGTTGGGCGCAGAGAGTCTGGCGGACGGACCTGTTTGGACCTGCTGGCCGTGTTTCTGAGTGTTTCTGAGGGAGGCGGGCTGCAGGGGGTCAGTAAGGCGAGTCCACACTGCTCTGCCCGGAGCCACAGCAGTGTGGAACCCAACCGCTCCACAGCGGCTCCTTTCATACGGAGCGCGTCAGCACGTCGAGGAGGAGGAGCGACAGACAGGAGCGACAGACAGGAGCGACTCACTGATACTGATTTTTCATTCAGGAGAAAAGCTGATGCTCTCATTTCTCTGAGCTCAGAATCTGCAGATACGGCGTATCTGGCGCTTTCGACACTGACCACAGCGCTGAAGCGGCCACTGCGTGTTTTGGTCCGTTAAAGGGACAGTTCACCGTTTTCCTTAGATTTCTTTCTCTTTTACGAGTTTCCAAAACAAGTTTGGTGCTTTTTCGGATAAGTGTGAGGTTCCTATGGAAGAAACGGCGTCAAATTGACCTTAAATGACTTCCAGAGGGCAAAGAAAGTGCAGGTAGTTCAGAAACAGAAAACACAACCCTGAAACAGCTCAGCACCGCCCCCCTCTGGTTACTGACAAAGTACAGAACGTCTATAGTTTGAATGTTATTGTTTTATTTACAGGTGTGGTTTATTATTACAGTACCTGCATCAACTTACAAGCACTTATAAAATGGATCCTTACTTACTTACTACATTTGAAAGTCATTTAGTGAATTTACTGAGGTCAAAACATTCATAGCGCATTTTTACTCAGTTAATATTTGACCAAACATATTTGTATTTAACTCGAGTACAGAAGTTTTGTACTTAGTCACTCGCTCACATTATGAATTACTATTTAAACATAAAAAACATTGTACATTCTGTACATCATTTGAACAGGGCAGCTGATCAGTGGACCAATAGAAATGCTCGAACATTATTTGGAATAAAATCTCTTTACATTAACTTACATTAAATAGTAAGAACATTTTTGACTTTTCCTATAAAGTTACTATTTTTAAGATATATGTTTTTCTTTGGACAGTGATGATATGGAGCAAAAACTGTTCTTTACCTGTTTGCTTGATAGCTAGTATTCTGGCCACAGTAGCTTCAGTGAGCAGTGTTTACACTCAGGATGGAGAAAAGTGGAAAGGGATGATGTATAGATGTATAGATACCCTTTACAACCCACAACATTAGATAATACCTATTCTGTTCTTTACCAGCTTTTATCATAAGGAGGATGCAGTAGCTCAACTGTTGGAGAGCATCACTACATTACCTGTATACCTATATATATATATATATATATATATATATATATATATATATATATATATTACATGCAGTATTGCTGTCTTGTTTTAGGCCTAATGGAAGCCCATAGGAGGTCATTTTTGCACTGTATTTTACATTTTACTACACAAGAACACATTTGATTAAACAAACAAATAAGTATATATACATATATAAATTATATAAACATGTATATGTGTGTGTGTGTGTATATATAAATAAATACAAGGCATATATACATACATACACACACACATACATATGTATGTATTTTTTTTAAGAGAACATTGAACTGAACTGAACTGGACTGAATGTAACATGACAGTCATCACTGTCATATTTACTCATAATATGTGAGGCTCTGTGGGTCACTGCTGCTGTCGCTTCTCTGGCGTAGAGGCTTTTTGTAGGTCACAGTGGGCACAGGAACCCCATGGAAGTGGTCCATCAGATCCAGCCCTCCAAAGAAGTTGATGAAGATAATGCCCAGTTTGGCTGGCAGGAAACTGTCAGAGGGACAGAAATGAGCAATTTACACAATTTAAACATGTTCATTCACACAGCCGGTGTCAACACTTTCGATTGGCTGGTCCTTTGATGACTAGAAGATAACCACTCGTCAATAATTAATCTATTCACTATCGAAGGAAGGTGCATGATGTTAGTGCGCCAGTGTCTCTCACTGCTGATGTCAACATTACTACAGATTTATAAACTGGACCGCATAATTATGAGTCGCAGTTCCTGAGAACTACAGAATAAACCATTATATAAAACAACCTAAGCCTTCTCAATGCTTGAGCGTATGAAAGCTTACCTCTTCAGCACCATCAAGAAATACAAACTTCCAGGAAGCGCTAAGTACATCTTCTCCCTCAAAACTGCATCCACTATCGTTTCTGCAGCTTCTCTCTGATCCATTATCGGAAGCAAGGATGGCCACCTAATAGCAGGATAAAGGAGAGTGGATTATTTCAGGCCTCCAGTTACAGTTATCTGAACTCTCACCTAGAGTGAAGGTCATTATAGACCAGTGGTGGGAAACTGGACGGGTCAGTGATTTTCTTGTTCAAGCACACCTAATTAATTTCTATTAAAGGGGAATTACAGCAATTTTTCTAAATTTCTGCATAATTCATTTGCGAATATGAAAGCAAAGGTAATTAGAGTGGTTTGATGTGAAATTCTAGAGAAATTTACCGAGTGATGCGAACCAGACGTCTGAAGTGTTTAATGACACTTATAGTTTGGAGTTTTGGTCTAAAATATATTAGATTTTTTTTGGCAGAGAGAAGTGTGCAGGTACTGTTAGGAGAAATAACCCCCAAAGGAAAAATTTTCCACATTTTATCATCAACATTTCATATAAAAACTCGGAAGACCTGTAAATATTGTAGATCATCTACAATATCTTTTGATCTACGTCTTTTTTTGGATAATAAATAAAATGGCTATATTTGCATTGTAGTTGTTGTGACCCCTGGTTCCCATCACAACCACTGCAGAAGAGAAATTTGTGTCAGTGAGTTTCTCTGTAATGAATCATTTGACATTAAACCTTTTTGAATGATTGTGTGCATCTCAACGGCTGAATCGTGCAGAAATGATGCAGTAATTTTGAAAAATTGATTTCCCTTTAAATAGATACAACTTGCTGACATGTAATATAAAACATGCATAACCTACTTTGTTCTGCATCCTTGGAACATTGCTGTGTTGATAAGATAGGGACACACTATGGTTGTTTTGATTCCCTCCTTCTTAAGGACGAGCAGCTCCAGAGCGATGGATTCAGCAAATCCAATGGCTGCAGATTTACTTGCACAATAGTCTGTAGACACAACACACATCAGCAGTCATTTTACTGCTGTATAAGACTTTCACTTAAATACTCAGACAGCTGTGAGCTGTCTGCTCTTCAGACTACCTGCAAGGCCATTCAGGGCAAACAGTCCTCCATGAGAAGATACGCAGACTAAGTGTCCATGGTTCCGTTGTAACATTGCTGGGAGGAATGCCTTGTAAGTCTGTAAGAAAAGGTAAAATTATATTTTTTGACAACTTATTTGCTGTACAGTTAGGCTAAAAGACACCTAACATCAATGATCGCTGTCAGGCTTTAATTTTACTGAATGATACTGTAAAACTGCAAAACAGACAAAGTTCAGAATATTTTGCTTAGTTAAATCCTTCATAAGTAACGTTCGTATTAAACCCAGTGTGGGAATGTGTGGCACCGTTAGCTCGATGCCAACACAAGCCAGTTAATCGCAGTGAGGGGCGAGTGGTCAGTAGCATTATCATTGCGGTGGTAATTTGGTGACCAAAACCTACTCATAATGCAAAGGTTTCTGTATTAAACAATGTTATATTATGATGTTTTTATTATAGTAAGACAAAAAAATTCAGAAACTAGGAAATCAGGAAACTATGAGGCAGTTTACCAACTTGTAAATTGCGGCTGACAATTTGGTATTTACAACTACGAAACTCAGGATTCTAGATGATCCACATGTTTCTGAGATGTGATGTATAATGTGACCTTTCACTGTTTACATGAGTGGAAATGCTAAACTCACAGTAAATGTGAAAAACATGAACACCTGATTTGCTCCTATTAGATCACTGTGGTTTCTGACTGGATATGCAGGATGTGTACTTTAGAGAACGCTTTCTTTTTCCATGTAGTGAACAAAGAAGCACCTGAACAGAGTTTAGTTGTATTAACTACTTAACCATCTGGTAAATACAACCTTCGGATGAGCACAATGTTTGTCGAATTGAATGTCTGTATAAACGCTTTCTGCTGAGGTTCCTCAGTTTGGCCAGTTTCTGACGGCGGTGTAGGAGCATCCTTTGCTACATGTCCCGTAATCGTGTGTTAGCCCTGATGCAGTTAGGAGAAATCAAGAGCTTCACTCTGCGGCCATGTCTGTAACACCGCCATACAAGACCAGACCTCTCTCTCTTTGAATGGGGGGAGACCAGAATACTCGAAACTGAAGCTGAAATTACCGTCCAAAAAGCGTTTCTGAAATCACCAGTGAAATCTGACAAAATCTCATAAACAGTTTGTGGAGTTTCAATAAAATAAAAACAATAAAAACGTGATTTTTCGGATTGTTCTGGCTTCTGCACTCGCGCTCATCTCCACAACGAGATGGGGCTTTTCCCGCTCGCGCCACAGTACGGTCAACCCTCATGGCATAACCAGCAAGTGAAGGGCGGGACTTTCTCCGCAAACAGATTCCATTTTTAGCTTTACAAGCTTTCCCGTTCATATTTCAGTGCAGTGACATAATAAATCATGCTAATCTTAAAAAATAACTGCTGTGTGTCTGAACTAACGTTATTTTATTTTGTTATTATTTTATTAAGCACACACACACACACACACACACATCTTCTAAGCCGCTTATCCTTCTGGGTCGGGGGGGAGCTGGAGCCTAACCCAGCAGTCATTCTAGAACAAGGCTTAGATAAACCAATGTTTATAAACCCAGTGAAACGTGGGAGCCTCCTCATGTGAGCCGAGTGTTCAATGTGTACAAAATACCACACTTTGTTTATAAAACGTTCATTTTTCTCGCTAACGCAGCTAAATGCTAACAGCTAGCAGTGAGCTTGGTGAATTTTGCGGTGTATCGCTGCCTCTGTGTCTCAAACGCGGGTTGCAGGTACCTAAATCTCTGTTTCCTTTTAAGGCACTGACTTATGAGGCAGCTACCTTCAGTTTCAGACCCAGCCAATGTTTCTTCGAGGTCTTGGAACTGACTTCACAATGTGAATAAAACACAAAGTTATTTATGAACACAACAGCTTTTAAAACTAAAGATTTGAAACGTGAGATAATTCACCCAGAAGTGGGCAGCAGTGTTGACTCTCAGTGTTCTGTCCACCAGGTTGTCTGGAGCTTCCGTGAAAGCATATTTTCCAGTCACCACACCGGCGTTGTTCACGAGGATGGACACGTCTCCCACTTCCTTCTTCACCTGTTGAAACATCTTATTACCTCATTTGGATGTGACCACGGCAACACAAGACTTATCCCAAGGTTTCGTATGAGGGTACGCAGAGGTGGGTTGAGTAGGCCTTGAAATATTGTTCATTTATTTAAATAATGACTCACCAAATACCTTCACTCAAAAGGGTAAACAAGGTCACTACTGAAGTGCTGGGTTACCTGCAGAGCCCTGCTGGTGACATCCGGTATAATAAAAACAATGCATGGCCACAACTTAGTAAGGCATGGGAATGAGATAATAAAGTTGTGGAAAAGACCTAGTAAGGCGTGGGAACAAGATCATGCCTTATTAAGCTGTGGTCAAGGTTTAATTATCTCATTAACATGCCTTACAAAGTCGTGGCCACATATTAGGATCTCGTTCCCACGCCTTACAAAGTCTTTTCCACAACTTTATTTTCTCATTCCCACGCCTTACTAAGTCGTGGCCATGCATTATTTCATTTATACCGGATGTCACCATCAGGGCTCCATAGTTATCTACAGAACTGTAGTAGAACTTTTTATCAAATCCAGAATTTCTCTCCACTCAAACCCCTCTTTACTTACAGCTTAAACACTGAATTATACAGAGATCTAACAGAAACCCTGCAGAATTCCCTTTCAATATTTAGACGTTGTCACTAACAGAGCAGAATAAAATCACACAACAAAGGAAGGAAGTGTTAATAATAAAAAATAAACTAAATAAGTAAAAAATTATTTTTATATGAATATACTCCAGGACACATATCATCTGAAAATTCCAGTGAAGTACAAACACATCAACATTTTAAATAAATATCTACCACTTCAGCGACTCTGTAGACCTCCGTTCTGCGGCTGCAGTCACAAGCGTAAGCGTAAACCCGCACGTCCAGGCTTTGCCGCAGCTCTTTAGCTGTCTTGTCCAGCGCCTCCCAGTTCACATCCCAAAGAACTAAGGTGGCCCCCAGTCGTCCCAGCTCCTTCGCTATCTGTTTCCCAAGTCCGTCCGCTGCCCCGGTCACAAGCACGATTTCTCCCTCCACATCTTTCCTGGGGTGTGGAACGAAGAGTCGCACAAAGGCTTCAAAAAAATAGAAGACTGCCCCAAAGAGGAGCTCAAACACCTCTTTAACAGACCGCAGGCTGAGCAGCGCGTGTTCTAAGACCTCAATGACCCGGGTACGCATGGCACTGACCTTTTCTGACCTTTTACTCACAGATATTTCCTGCTACCAGGCGATATCACAGAGCTGTCTTCTCATTTCTATTCACTCCGTGTACAAAACAGCTTGTTTTCTCTAGGTATGAATCCCCCGCGGTCCGGCTCTGTGTCCTGCTGTCCTCAGTGTGGTGGACTGTGAGGTGTGTGGTTTATTTTGGGCCTCCAATTATGTAGTTATCTGACCTCTCACCCAGAGTCAGCCTTACAGAGGTCAGTTGAGACCAGGAGTGGGGATTTCCGGTCCTGGAGGGCAAGATTCCCTTTTTTTCCTTTTCCTTACGATTTTCCTGTTCAACCTCACCTGGTTCAACTGATCAGTTAAAGGGGAACTCCACAAAACTGTACCATTAAATATTTAAGATGTAAACAAAGGCATTCAGAGTAGTTTGATGTTAGTCATTATTTTGCAATGGTGGTAATAGAAACCAGATATATGAAGCATTTAATGCATCTAGAAGCTACTTAACAGGAAACTATTATTATTATTATTATTATTATTATTATTATTTTAGTTATTCGTGAATGTATCTGATGCCTGAAACCTCCACACAGCCTGCAACATCTTTATTTTTTTAATATAACTTTTAATATGATTTGTGGTATGTTTTAGCTATTATTTTACTTTTTATTATTCTTTTTATTTTTTATTTGTATTCTTTTTATTTTATTATTGTCAATTGTCTTACATTTTCTATTTTTTTATTTCATTAATTTATGTTTTTTATTTATTTTATCCTTATCTGATCTGTTACTTGTTAAGTTACTATATTGTAATTTTAAAGGTTTATTGATTTAACGGTTTATTGGTACCTTATTATTTTATTATTACATTTGATTTATTTTTAGTACCCAATCCATGATTTCTGTATTGCTTGGCTGGATTGATTAATTGATTGATTGATTGATTGACTATACATTTTTGTGACTGGATTTTGACCAAAAATGTATTTAAACAACAATGTTTTATTTACATAAAACCTCACACGTGTAGGTCCACTGGTGGTTTTGGATGGTAAATGAAATGACTGTGTTTGTGTTATTCTGGTTCCTTTCACCACCCCTGTAAAGAAAAGTTAAACTTCTCCACAATTCGCCGTTTTTAACCCCTGTAATCGCCAGATGTGTTGGACTCCGACCCTCCCTGCTCTAACCTACCCCTGTATTTGGGTTCGCTCTCTGCGCCACAGCGCAGACTCGGTTTCAGTGTTTATATGTGACGGGCCGGGCGGGGCGCTCGGCGGACGGGGATGTAGCTCAGTGGTAGAGCGCATGCTTTGCATGTATGAGGCCCCGGGTTCAATCCCCGGCATCTCCACAGCTTTTAATCCCACACTCACACTTTTACAGCGCTAATTAATACACATTTCACGAGATAATCTGCCGCTCAAACATGCGCAGACGGCATTTGGCGACCGAAATCCACGAAACAGCGAATTCTCCTTGTTCGTATTTGCGTCACTCTCCTTGACGACGGTATCCAGGGCCGGAGCGGTGTTTACCAAAATGTCTGCCCCCTGAAGACGCTCCGCCAAAGGGCGCCGAGGAGGAGAATCTTATTATAGCGCATTATTTCTGCGCCCATCAGCACCGGCAGCGCCTCTCTTTTCAAAAAGAAAACATGCAGCTGAAGCACCTGAGGACTCTGCTGACCCCGCAGGTGAGTCTGACTCGGAGCCGCCAGCTAACTTTGCTAACTCGGCTAACTTAGCTAACTCGGCTAACTGCGCTGCCAGGCTGTTAGAGCAAACCCAGACGAGCTAACAGACACGCTGGAACTGCCCTCGTTAGTCTGAGCGCTCGCAGTTTAACACCACTGAACCGCCGGCATTTCCACTTTCTCAAAGGCTGAATGATGGACAAAACCTCTAATCAGACGCGGAACAGAAACTCGAGGGGTCCAGTTAGCGTCCGTGACCACAGGCTCTGCTAATGCAGCTGACCAGCCGAGCGCTGGTGAAGTGACTTAGTTAACGCCTAAAGTTCAAAACATGTTCACAGTTTCTTTAATCAGAGTCGTTCAACGTTAAAGCAGCGCTAACTTACAGCTGCCGCCATGGTGAACCAGCCTCCTGTTAACGCAGCGTAGCAGCTTCAGTCCAGTCACTCTGTGAAGCGACTGTCCTGCTGTTAGTTCAGCCAGATCCTCTAAAATGCCCGGTTTTCCTCATTTTTCTCGCAGGAAGGAGCCGCCAAAGTGACTTGCATGGCTTGGGCTCCGAACAACGCCAAGTTCGCCGTGTGCACCGTGGACAGGGTGGTTCTGTTGTACGACGAACTGGGAGAGAGACGGGATAAGTTTTCAACGAAGCCTGCGGACTCCAAAGTAAGTTAAAGGGGAATTTCACCGAATCTTCAGAATGTCTGCGTAATTTCATGCTTTGAAATATGAACAGCGACATTACAGTCAAGAGTGACTTCATGTGAAACGGTGCAGTGAAGGAAATGTATAACCTATCTAGTTGTATAACTTATCTATCTATCTATCTATCTATCTATCTGTCTATCTATCTATCTATCTATCTATCTGTCTGTCTTTCTGTCTATCTGTCTGTCTTGCTGTCTATCTGTCTATCTGTCTGTCTCTCTATCTGTCTATATATCTGTCTGTCTGTCTGTCTTTCTGTCTATCTATTTATCTGTCTGTCTGTGTCTTTCTGTCTATATATCTGTCTATATATCTGTCTTTCTGTCTTTCTGTCTATCTGTCTATATATCTGTTTATCTGTCTGTCTATCTATCTATCTATTTATCCATTCATCCATTCATCCATCCATTCATTCCTTCATCCACTCACCCAACGTTTTGACTCGGATTTCTTTACAGTGTTATTGATATGAACCAGGAGTTGCAATGTCTGCAGCGCAAAAGTCTGTTTTATTCACTATTCAGAATGACTCACACCTACACAAGTCTTCTGAGTTTTTATGTAATGTTAATAAACTGGTAAAAATGAAAAACATTTTTTTTTGTGGGGGGGAGGCGGGGGGATATTGCCTCACAACCCCCTGCATGTACCTGCCCACGATGAATGGATTAAAATAAATAATTGTTGGTCTAAACCTTCATTTCAGAACCGGGTCACAGGCAGCAGGCAGTGTATTCATAGTCATTTAGTGTAACAGCTTTCTGTGATGCAGCTTTTAAAGGTATTAAACACTGCAGACTTCTGGTTCCCACCACTTCCACTGTAAACAGTTCTGACTGACGTTTCTCATCAAACCACTCTGAATGACTTTGAAATGAAATTAAAAATCTTCATTCAACACATTCAGACAGCATTTCTGCTCATGATTCACCACATGTGGCTGATTGACTGGGCGGATCGTATCCATGACAACACATGAAATATCACCTCCGCACTTCTTTAATCACAGGACCCAGCACACTGTCACATCGCTGCAAACGCCTGAGAAACGCATAAAGTACAAACACTCCACACACATGCAGAACGGATAAACAAATACAGTCGTGGGCAATAGTTTGGGCACCTCTGACCAAAATATGTTCTGTTGATTAACTATGTGAAAATTAAAACCAATCCTCTACAAAGAACACACTTCTGCACAAGTGTGCACAACAACGGTTTATGTGCTGAATTTAACATATCGGGGAAAATAAGTCCATAAAATGTGATGCCAAACTTATGGCACATTTCATATTTTTATGTTGCAATATGTTAAACTCAATAAATGAGTAGAAGTTCTGCACAGAAATCTGTAGAAAAATGTCAAATTTAAGTTTGATCCTGTAGAAGATGCATTAAATTATTTTCATTTACTGTTCAGACTTTTACATATATAAATTAATATGCATGGGGGAAGTATGTGCACCTCTTTTCTCCCCAGGGCAGATGCTTTGGGATCACTGGCATGTCATCTGAAGTAGCATATTGTAAAAATGCATTTAATAATCAAAATAACACAACAAAAAAATGTTTTATCACTTTATTTTGCAGTATGGGAAGAAAAGCTACACGGTCAAGTCCATGGCATTTTCTCCAGATTCCACTAAAATTGCCATTGCTCAAACTGACAATATAATATTTGTATACAAAATCGGAGAGGACTGGTAAGTATATCACTTAATCACTAATGCTCTAATGTACAAATTATATTTACTTTAACTGTTTTGACAGTAATGTGAATCACAAAATGAATAGAATAAAATCAGTAACCTGATGTTTTCTCTCTGACAGGGGAGACAAAAAAGTTATTTGCAACAAATTTGTGCAGACAGTAAGTGATACTTCAGATTAATTAAGAGGAATAGTGTAATGACAGTAACATGCAGTATGTTGGGTATGTAATAGAACAATATAATAACTTAATATTTTTATTTTGCAGAGTGCTGTAACATGTTTGCTTTGGCCAGCAGAACATTCTATAGTGTTTGGTCTAGCAGAGGGAAAAGTAAGTGATGTAATTTACATGGCACTTAAAAAATAATCTTTAGGTTTCTTATGAATGTGTTTGCATCATATCTGTGTTTGCCCACAAACAGATTCGAGTGGCCAACACAAAAACCAACAAATCGTCTACAATCTATGGAACGGAGTCCTATGTTGTATCACTGACCTCGAAGTATGTCCACTTACTCACTATCTGCTTATTGTCACTTGTGCTTTTGCCGTTTTTCTGAAGTTAAGAGAATTCCTGTTAAATTTGCCCTCGTTGTCTCTGTGTTAGTGTCTCTGGGAAAGGAATTCTTTCGGGCCATGCGGATGGGACCGTTGTGCGCTATTTCTTTGATGATGAAGGCTCAGGTGACTCTCAGGTATAAGCTGTGCAATTACACACATATAAAATAAAGAAATCAAAATATATTTGAAAAAATCACTTATAAATAATAGACAATCAACTATAAATAACAGAGTATTCAACTACTTATATGGTCAGAGCCACCGATGGACCCAACGTCTTATTACACACTTTTATAATCTGAGAACAGCTCAGTTTGCATTGAAGTCCCTGTAGTTACTGAATTAAAAGCCTCAGTATTTCCCATCTTTATTGCCTCAGTAAGGAGTAAAACATTTCCTGGACTTATTTTTGCTTATTTGAAGGGCAAATTGCTCACACATCCCTGCCCACCCTATGCACTGGCGTGGGGAACCAACAGCATCATCGTGGCTGGATGCGATAAAAAGATTGTGGCCTATGGGAAGGAGGGTCACGTCCTGCAGACGTTCGATTACAGCCGAGATCGCTCAGAGAAGGAGTTCACTGTGGCCGCTACCAGCCCCAGCGGTCAGTCAGTAGTCCTGGGCAGTTACGATAGGTGAGTATGTTATGCGAAGACGGCGTGAGGAAAAGAGAGGCAGGGTTTTGCACTGACACTGGACGTAATACCATAAAGAGTTGTTGCTTTCTTGTACACAGTATATATCTCTGCATCTCCAAAATGACAACTTTACAGGAGAAGGAGAAAACTGCTTTACTTTTAATGTAAGTCAATGGAACCAGACTTTTTTGGGTCATTTCTTTTGGTCCATTCATCATGAAATTTACACACAATATATAGGACCACGAGTACAGTACTTTCAAATTATGTCAAAAACTCAAAAACGGCAAAAATGAAGATACTGTTTCCTTCCAACAGCAGTGAAATGTAAAAAGTGTCCTGACTGTTCTTCTACTTAGAGAATTCATCTTTAAGGTTCACACGTTGCTGACACAGGTGTTCAGTTTCGCACATCTTGTGTAGTCTTCATAAAAAAACATTCCTAATTGAATTGAATGTTCTGGCTGCACATGAGCCTAAGGTCACCATGCCCAATGCAAAGTATCAGCTAGAGGGGTATAAAGCCCCCCAGCATTGGGCTGTGGAGCAGTGGAACTGTGTTCTGAGTGGAGTGATTGAGCTCCATCCGATACGTTGTGATGAGGTTGAGTGGCGTTTGTGGCCCAGAACTAATCATCCAACGTCAGTACCTGACCTCACTAAAGCTCTTGTGCTCTTGTGCAATCATATCCTCACAGGAATGTTCCAGTGTGTAGTGTAAAGTCTTCCCAGAACAGTAGAGGCTGTTACTGCAGCATAGACTCACTATTATATTATCCTTGACTTCAGAAGAAACATCGAATCAGCAGGTGTCTACAAACGGTTGAACATACAGTGGTCAGTTCCACTGATTTCTCCAGATTTCTGCATAATACAGTTGTTTAGATGTTAATTAAGTCATTCAGAGTGTTTTGATGTGAAATGGTTCATTATAGAGAAACTTATTTTCTCAGATTCCTTTACAGTGGTGCTGATTTAATTGTCTACATGATGTCTACAATGTAAATACAGCCATTTTATGTACTCTCCAAAACCACCAGTCCTACACGTGTCTTCAGAGTTTATAGATGTAGTGTAGATCATGGTAAAATGGTGGTAAATCTGAAAAAAAGGTTTTGCCTTACAGCACCCTGTACCTCTCCATCTTGAATTGATTAAAAATACAGTTTAGGCTAAAGGCACATCTCCAAACTATCATAAAACAATCTCTTATGAAAGAAACAAAGTGTTCAGAACTATTTCATTTAACCGATTTTTTTGAGGTGGCTTTTAGAGACTTCAGACGTCTGGTTCCTATCTGATGACAGTTCTGACAGTGAGTTTCTCTAGAACAGCACATTTCATATCAAACCACTCTGAATGACTTTGATTACAATGATTTAATTAAGCAGATATTCTGAAAAACCTGTTTTATTCCCCCTTGATAAAAGATATTCGCCAGAAATGACAGTCAGTAGCATTTTTGTTCTAGTTCTGTTACGTTATCTTGAGCTCGGTGACCGAAGGTGATTTCACCTTCTCTTTTTTAGATTTTGTAAAGCTTTATTACACAAATTTCACATTAATTTTATTGTCCAGCCAGTATTCTGTACCCTGCTCAGTGTTTTCATTTGCCAATAGCTGTGGAAACATTCGGAGAAGTATTACTGCAAAAGATCTCGCTGTTCTCAGGATAAAACCTCGTATCTCCATTTCGTTTTTCAGTTTTTGACATAATTTGAAAAGGCCTGTAGCTCTTTATATTGTGTGTAAATTTCATGAAGGATGGACCAACAGAAACGGCCCAAAATGACTTTGAAAAAAGTCTGGTTCCATTGACTTACATTAAAAGTAAAGTGTGTTTCCTGTAAAGTTACCATTTTGGAGATACAAGGTTTTGTTCCGACAACAGCAACATGTTCATGTCGACCTACTGCTTACTCTGAACTGAGAACATGCGCACCAGATACCAGAGATATGGTTCCTATTTTGATTATCGTTCTCACCTGGAATTTATCAGTTATATGCATCAGCATGTCTGTTAGGTTCCTCCCTGCATGGCATCAGAAAGTTTCCAGCACATCAATGTCTTTGTCAGCTTGTGTTAGATCTGACGATGAGGGGTCACAGTCGGTGACAGAAGAGTTATTTTTTGATCCTGAGCATTTTTGTGATTTTCATTGTTTCCTACAGATTGAGGGTTTTCAACTGGAGCCCTCGAAGAGCTGCTTGGGATGAGGCTTCTCCCAAAGAAATTCCCAATCTGTACACCATCACAGCTCTGGCCTGGAAGAAAGACGGCTCTCGGCTCTGCGCAGTATGTAGAACAGTCCATAAATCAGCCAGATGTAGAAACGACAAGTTAACATGTGTCCTACAGTGACGCCACAGGAGTCTCTGAGTGACTCTGGAGTTTCTAGTTTAAAGACTAGAATATCCCCCCTTTAGTAATGATTCTTAAGGGTTGGAAGAACTTTTGAAAAACTACAGCTGTTTTGCATGCAGGCTGTTGCTAATGAGAGAAACAACTCAGAGTTACACTAATGCTAGCCTGGCTGAAATTATTAGCTGTATCTTACTGTCTGAGCGAATGCTGCCTTAAAGTCCCCTCGGAAGTTACTACTTATGACTTAGAAGGTTGTAAGTATGACGTGATGTATGTTTAAGTGGTTTTGGTCAGAAACAAGATGCAAAAAATGCTTTTTAGTTTATTTTTATTTTGCTGTAGTATTTTTATATTTTATTATCACTGCAACAAAATGAGCAGCAGAGCCTGCTTATGGGATGAAGTGTACAGTTAGAAGCATCACATTAATGTATATGTATTTTCACGTGTTGCTGCTGATTATACAACAGTTAGTTTCGGCCATGCGAGCTGATTGGTTGAGCAGCGTCTCTAACTGTGCTGTTATTTCACCATAACATCACAGGTTTTTAACAAACACTGTATCACTCCGCTGAGACTGTGACAGCTGTAGGAGACGCTCAAGACATTGAACGTTTTTACTTCTTACTTTGCCACAAACAGAAAATGGACACTTTTAAGATCACATTTGACCGACAGCCGATTTGGTCAGACTCTGAAGATGAGACGACACTAAATTCCCAAACTGTCATCACCACTGAGCAGCTTTTCAGTCGGCAGCTGAGACAGAAGAACAGCTGAACAACCTGGAATCAGCCAGAAATGAACCCAACACCATTCGCCAAACTAAATGGGCTGTAAGATGCTTTACAGACTGGCTGGAACAAAACAACATTAATACTGATCTGGAAAAAACTGACAAAACTGAGCTGAACTTGATATTGGGTCAGTTTTAAGGCTCAGTCTGTACTTCAAAAGGCGAGGCTTACAGCAGACTGTGCAGCGAGTGGGCGGAGCTCGTTACTCTGACGTAGCAACAAGCTGCTCGTTAAGGAACTATAATTTGGTGAAGGAACTGCGAACATTAAAACATATTAAACGCCGCGTTCACGGCCCAGTTTATTAATTTATTACTGTGTTTATTTAACTGTTGTATTAAAGCAGTAGAACACTCGAGGAGTGTGTTATCACCAATAACATCACGGCTGTGATGATCTACGGCCACCAAATCACAGTGATGTTATTTCATGATAACACACTCCCTCTGTGTTCTACTGCTGAAATACAGGCACCCAACTCAGAAAGTTGGGGCTCAATGAAAAATCTAAGTTTCCCACTAGTAAGTAAGAAATTGTGGTGATGTTCATTTGCGCTAATCTTGAAATGATGGTGATATTTTTCACACTACTTGAAAGCAGCATAACAGTCAGGACTGGTTGACGCCACACGGATTCCCAGTGGTTGTCTGATGTGTGTGTTTAGGTATCGCAGTGAGAGAACAGTAACGAAGGAAAACAAAAATGATCCAAAATCGTCAACTGTGTCAAGGAAACATAATGCTGCACTACAGAGAGCTGCACGCTAGTTTTAGGCCAGAATGCCTCCTTAAGATCTGTCTGAAGAGCTTCATACTATATTTTTACTGTAACTCATTACGTTTATATGTTACATCCCCAGTCACACATTTTCTTGGGCTGCTTTTTGACCATCAGGGCACGCTGTGCGGTGGAGTGGAGCAGTTTGACTGCTGTCTTCGCAGAAGCATCTACAAGAACAAATTTGAGATGACGTATGTGGGCCTGAGTCAGGTGTGCTTTCCTTTCCCTTGGAGCAGTACAGTCTGAATTATGGCTGATATTCATAAAATATTTCGCAGTAAGAAGCTGATCTTAGACTTTCTTTTAAAACAACTAACGACAGTGTCATTTTAACAATGTTTCAGACAAAATATCTACATTTAAGTGGGGTTTGTTCACCAAATCACAGTGTCACTCCAAAGTCCTGGTGTTGCTGCTGTTCTACATCACTTAGTCTGTCATGGTGCTGTCGCTCATTGATTCCCGGTGGAGAGTTGACGGATTTATTGTCTTTGCTTTTTTGTGACTCAGGTGATCGTGAAGAACCTCTCTACAGGCACACGAGTGGTGCTGAAGTCACATTATGGCTATGAGATCGACGAGGTAAAGATCATGGGGAGAGACCGCTACCTGGTGGCGCACACCTCCGACACTCTGCTGCTGGGAGACCTCAGCTCCAACAGACTCAGTGAGGTAAGAGAACTTGAACTCAGGCTTCTCACATATTCGGCAAGGGTTCAGATTTCATGTTCAGATTTCTGAAAGCCAGTGTTTGGATATTTATCCCTACCTTTGTTTCTCTGCTTTCTTTCTTTCTTTTAACTTTATTACCTTAAACACTTCATCCTCTGGCATGCTGGAGTGGCAGTTAGGCCAGTATGGGAACAACATAATGTAAAGTTTATCTGGACTAAACCCTGTTGGTCAAAGGCAGCCATTGAGTGTGTTTACATGCACTTAATAAACCGATAACTGCAGAAAATCAGATTTTGTCAGTAATCCAATCAACACGTTTACATGCACTTGAGTAATCAGATAATGGGGAAACTCCGGGTCTACATGAGTCAGACAGTAATCAGATTCCTGCTTTACAACCAGCCAATAAACTCACAGAAGAAGACGTGACGTAAACGTAATGTAAAATCAAACTTCATGCCGTGCCTTTTTTAAACATGGCGCCGCTTTACTTGAAAATATGAACAAACTTAATCTAGAAGATGAGAAATACAGGGTGATTCAAAAAGATTCATCCGATTTCAAATCGCCATATTAGGAACCAATCACATACCAAATGAAAGAGGGGGTCATAGAGTTTCTGACTGTCGGTGGAAGATGGCTCCATCAATTTTCCCTTAAGAAAATTATAATATAGCTAACGGTGAATTTAGTGAGCATGATGACTAATATTTATGTACTGTTAATATGTTTAGCACTGAATGAAGTCCAACACCAGCCGTGATTAAAGTTTGATATCTGTGGGGCCACAACTTTTAGCAAGTGACCTGGTCAGTGCTAGCTTTCATGTGGTGTTAGCTGTGGAAACACTGGGTGAAGTATTACTGTAAAACATATGGTTCCCAACTTGATTTAGTTTGTGATTCAGCAGGTGCTTATCTTAGGAACGTGGGAGTGAGATGGTCTCCAGCTGATGTTGGTCAGGTTTGGACAGAATTATGTTTGGCTCAGCAATGTTCATTGACAGTACTGTAGAGCTTGTTTGGCTGCTGTGTGCAGATAAAAGCTCTTAAAAGAGTTCACATTTAAGTTAAAGAGTTGTTTGATTCATGCTTCATAATTTTAAAAGTGCTGTGGCAGTTCATTGTAAATACGTAGTGCCAAAGAAAACCATGAAAGCATGTAAAATCTTGCATAGAATGACTTTACCTTACAGTTCTTACAAATCATGTACAAACAGCAAGTAATACCCAAACTGAAAATCCAAAATCTTCATAATTTGTTAAAAATATCTGACATGCTATAAATACGCTATTACTTCTTGTTCTGTGGGAACTGCCACGTGAAATTGAGAAACCCCGATTGGATGAAGCTCAAATGAATATTCGAGTGAATTTCTTCCCAGTTCCCACTTGGTAATAAATGCAGTACAAGACCAGTTAGTGCTAGTTAGCATAACAACTAATCTTCATTTATAGTGATAAGTCCCTAAAAATGCTAGTTTTTACTCTAGATAAGAACATATACGTTGCTGATATGATATTTGTCTTTATAAAATGCTTGGAAATACACTCACCTACTAGTTTTCAATCTACACAAGAACGTTTCTTGAATTGGTCCTCGAGTGTTGTTCAGTCTGCTTTCTTGGGTCTGAGGGTTGTGCTGGTCATGTGGTCTGACCTCAGCACTATTTCAGAAGTCGAGTACTTGTGTAGTCCACGCTGCACCTTCCAAACCCTAACAGCAGCCCTTGACCTGTGTCTGAAATAAGACCCTCTTTGATCAGTTGAATTCTGCACAAAATGCCTTTGTTTGTTCTCTTGTCCTTTTCTTTGCGAGTCGTCTCAGAGCAGATTTCTAGCTGGTGTGAGCAGTTAAGGCGAAAGGCCCTGTTGAACGTTCCAAGGACTCGTTTAAAACCTGTTTAATTAAAAGTTCAAGGGCTGCTGTGGTCCGCAGTGCTAATCCACCTTTAATTGAGTTTTCAAGGAGCCTTCCGTGAGCTGGAGGGCTGTTCAGTATGACAAAAAGGATAATGGTGCAGCGGCCTGCCTGTGGGCTTTCTGTGTGTGTGTGTGTGTGTGTGTGTGTGTGTGTGTGTGTGTGTGTGTGTGTGTGTGTGTAATGTAGTGGAAAGTGGAACTTGACGGCCCCGTCTCACTCCTGTAAAACATTACCGTCCTGTTACAGGTGGCGTGGCAGGGCTCTGGAGGAAATGAAAAGTTCTTCTTCGAGAATGAAACAGTATGTACTGTCCTTTTTTAATAATATTAATATTTCTTTCAGTGTGTTAGTTTCAAATTCAGCAGATTTTAACAGATTAAAATGATGCAAAAATATGAAAGGATAATGTAAATATCTCACAGTATGGGATGAGCTTGAGGCCATCAATTGCAATTTTACAGTAGTTTCATTATTGATAATTATTATTAGCTTTTGTGATGATGATAAAAAGGAGTGTCACTGTAGCCAGTTTACTAGGGCACATGTTCTCAGTTCAGTTCAGAGTTCAGTGCAGTATTTAACAGCATAATTATACAAAAATATTATACAAACGTTTGTCTTTCCGCACTTACCAGCAAGTCACCCACAGAGCAGCCACAGTACTGTTCGCACTTATTGCTAACACCCATGTTGTGGCCTATCCAAAACACACATTAGGCCACAGCATCAAAGGCATTAGTTAAGTTAGCAACATAAACGGGACACTTTGCAGTTAATAACTTCTCATTTTGTGAGGATATGTTATCTAACCAGCTTGACCCAATGATGCAAAACAAGATCACATAACAGCGCAAAGCTTCTTATCTCACATTGTTTCACATGCGTGTGTGAAAGTTCTTAAATGAAAGCAGAAGAAAAAAAGACTTGAGAGACCCGTGTGAGACTGTCTCAGTGTCCACACCAGAACTTTGACCAAAAATAGAGCTTTTAATTTGTTTTACTGTAATTGGTTGGATAACTTTTCCTGGTTAGAGGATTCAGTCTAAATACAGGGAGGTTCACTCGAAAGAGGCCCCGAATATTCTGTAATAACTCTCTCTAGGCTGAAGCAATCTGAACGAAGCAACATGCAAAGAGCTCCACAGTATTTGGAGCTTCGAAAAAGCCAGGATGCCGTTTGCAACTAATAACCTCCGTTTGCAACTTCCGGGTGCAGACCCCCCGCACCCCTTCATGTGTCTGGCAGAAAGCGGAGGTCACTTCCAGCATCGCATATAATGCATTCGATTACACAGACGTCAATATATGTAGCGTATTTTTTGGTTCAGATCGCTTCATCCTAACGGGAGTTACAGCAGAATATTCGGGGCCTCTTTCGAGTGAATCTCCCTGTAGAAAGCAGGTTTCTGTTTTTGATACAGACTGTTCTGCCCTGATGACTGACAAGCTGGCCTGTGACCCCTTTAATACAGAGAGTGCTCCAGTACAACCAGCAGTCTAGAAATGTCCCACATTACGCAAAGTAAAATAGTTTGATATCTTCATGATGGTCACCATTACATGCTAGTTTATAGCTGAATAATGTGGAGTGAGGAATGTATTTCATATTGGCCCTCGTAGTTTCCCTCTCAGCCAATCACATTCAAAGGACTGAACTAATTGTGGACGTTATCCACCTAACTTTAAGATTAGTTCGATTTAACCCAGGATGTTCCGTCTCTCGATGGTAGAACCCTTTTCACCAGAGTACATCACCATGGCAACTAGTGCTGTATGTGTAGGGGGTAACCTGGTGGGTACTTCACAAAGCAGTGTTTCTCAGCAAGCTGGACGATTTAGGCCAAAAAACAGTCTATCCAACAGGGAAAAAGCTCAGGAACCATCCTCAACTTTTGGCTCAAGTTATCCAGCATTCTGAGAAATCCTGCTTTCCAGATCAGGATTAATCATAACTTGAGCATCTACACCTGGAATAACAGAGAGGTCGTCTTTGTAAAATCGCAGTTAAAACAGTTAAAACAAACAGTTAAAACAACTGTGGCTGCTTTTCTAAGATGTTGTGAAGCTGAAATTTAGTCTGGAACTGCCTCTTAGCTGAACTTGCTTCTAGGACAGGTACTAATGTTCTGTTGTTTTTTGCGGCAGGTTTGTATGGTTTTCAATGCTGGAGAACTGACCCTGGTGGAGTACGGTAACAACGAGATCCTGGGATCTGTTCGCACTGAATTTATGAACCCACACCTTATCAGGTGCGCTCTGCTTATGTTCAGTTTAGCCTTTAATTCCAAGCAATATAATAATAGTAGTCACATCTGAAAACTTGTGATGTAGTGTTGTGTACAATATTCACAGTCACCACTAGGTGACATGGTTGAGCTGCAGTTCAGTCAGGGTAAGACGGTACATTGTGTGTCATCCTATTATGTAAACCACTGTTGCTTAGCATACAGCTGCCCTGTTGGGGCTTTGGAGAGGAAAAGTTAGTCACCACAAATCAGCATCCATGTTGCTGCTGGACCGGAGTGCTCGGCTCCTTACTGTGGAACGCTGTCAGGCCGGCTCCCTTAAACATGCCATCAGTGTTCACGTGTTGCTGTTTGTGTGCAGTGTGCGTCTGAATGAGAGGAGGCAGAGAGGAGTGGAGGATAACAAGAAGTTGGCCTATCTAATCGACATCAAAACCATCGCCATTGGTGAGTGCCAGCATGGATGGAAACTGGCAATTAGGACATATTTCTTACCAGTGGAGCACAGTTTGGTCAAATTACATAAATTGTTATTTCATAATTTGAAAAAAGTTAACACATCCTCTTAGGGTGCAAAATGTCTTTTTATTTGCAGTTATTTACTCTATTTAAAAATGACATTTTTTTCCCAGGTGTTAAATTCAGCAGATAAATAGGTGTAATGCATTAACATTTGCAGATATTCCCTGTAAAAGACTGGTTATCTTGTTAAGCCCCTTTTACTCATGTATTTTTACCCAAAAAAAGGTTTTAGTGTGAATGTGAACGTGAGCCAAAATCCCAGTTAAATCGACATGTCAATCAACCGACATGCATCCTAGTATAATACCCAGGTAATTACCTGGAGGACTCGTGTGAACACAAGCGCTAACAGACAGAGTTGGTTTTTTTACCCTCATAAATGCTTTACTTTCTGCATATTTACATAGTATGATGTCATAGCATGGTGTTCCTGCCCTGGTGGACAGTCTAGTCTGCTGTGTGTTATTACCCACTACACCACTGGTCACCAACCCTCCTCCTGAAGATCTGCTTCCCTGCAGAGTGCAGTTCTAACCTGCTTCTAACATGCACACCTTCCTCGTTAAACCAGGCGTACCCTGTGCGATTTTAGCCCTTTTTTAAGCCTGATTTGGTCGGAGACTGAATTTCATGTTCAGGCCGAATTTCAGCTTCATCAGCCATCGTTTGCCGTGCAGTGTGAGAGGGAAACAATGCCCGATTAACTGCCCAAGCGAGCTCTGATTGAGCAGTCGGACGATCAGATAGATTTCTGACGTGTGAAATTTTGGTCCCGTGTCTCACAGTCTGAGCCACCTCACAAACCGATTTCGCAAAGTCACACCCAAAACCACACAGAGGCAAAAAAGCCCACATTTGCGGCACCAGCGTCAGTTTATGACGACTTTGCTCCGTTTGTTGAATAGCATATAAATAAATACAGTGTTTTTTTTCGTAGAGCTGCCTGTCTGCAGAGCCGCCTGCTCTTCAGCTTCAGTGCACAGTGTGGCACAAGTTAGCAAAGCTGTTGTAGCAGTTTGTCAGTGGCTGAATCTGGATTTTACACCAAAATAGTGTCCAGTTAGTCCAGTATGGAGCTGTGCACACGCGGCTGAATCTCAGAAGGCTATTTATTTGACATGTGATGCGCTGTATGGGTGCAGGAGCAGCTATTTTAATATGTGGTGCACTATGTAGGGAGCAGGGAGCCTTCTGAGATACAGCCAGTGTTTTGATCAGGACATCGGAGGCGCAGCGTGTTGTTTTGAATTAAACAGCTTTATCAGGTCAGTCGGACCGAGTGTTTTCGTTCAGTATGAGCACATAAATCACAGGCTTTGGCCGAACAAGAGGGGTGATTCAAACGTACAGTGTGAGTCACCAAAGAACAAGATTTCTGAAATTGCACAGTGTCTGCCTGGCTTTACCTGACACTGACACTAATGCATCCAGCCAATCAGGGCCTGAAGAAATTCAGTAGCTGGAGCAGGTTTGGCAGATTGTGGTTAAAACTAGACTGTGCAGGAAGACCAAGACCTCCAGGACCAGGACTGTGTCTCCTGCACTGCACTGTACCAGCCACTATGTATGTTAATATCTAAGTACAGGACTAAATTGACTGACAGCTATTTTGTTTCCAAAATGTTGATCCTTAGTAGCTGCCTGACAACTAACACAGCTTGATCTTAAAAACAGCTCTCACTGCTGTCCTCTATGTGTTACAGCTCTGTATACCCAATCATGATTCGCTCACCTGTTATCAATTCACCTGTGTATTATGGAGTATTTTAAAGTGATTTTGCTGTAGCAGCCTAAAATATCTACATTAGACTGGTATGAATTTAATAGTTTATGCACTGTGTGGCTATATTATTTACAAAAACACAGATATCAGATCAGATTCTGTATTAACACATGCTCAGTAAAGGTTGTGGAGCCACTACAGAATTTCTCAGGAGCCCGGCTGTTTTTGCAGGCCTGGTCATAAGTGCTCTTCTTCAATGAAAGCCCTACAAACACATATGCACACATCCTGCTCATCCTCATTGCATTCGGTTACGTAATCTGTGATCACTTTCTCTGAGCGCCTGCTCCACATCGTCCACCGTCCTCAAAGGCGAGAGTCAGCAAGCGGAAACAGTCAGAGAGGCGTGTGTTGAAAAACAGCCATATGCAGCCTCGGATGCTGCCTTTCAATTAGGCTCCGACCCTGCAGCGCCATCGTCAGGACCCGCTCCTTTGCTCTCTACTGTGTGCCATCTGCCACGGCTCTGTCCATTTCCTATGCTAATTAAGTCCAGGCATGCTCCTCTACCGTTTTTTACTTTCTTCCATTTTCAGGTGGTGAAAATGGGGAAGCAACTTCATCCAATTTATTAGCCTATGACTGACAGCAGAGTGCTCTTCCCTCCCCACCGCCCCTGCGTGCTCGAAACGTGTTTGGAAAGTGTAAATTGGAAAGTGCTTTTTCCTTCTAATCTTCTTTCTCCCTCCTGCCCAAAGTGAATCATCCCCTCGGAATGGTTATTTGTGAACAAAGGAGGCGAAAGGCTGAACATGATTTTTGAAAGATGCACAGATTTGTTTTTGTTTGTGAGTGGATGTTCGGAGGCTGCCTGAATGGAAATGTCTCCAATTTTGGTGCGTGCTGCCGTGTGTGTTTGTGTGAGTGTGTTTACACGTGGATTGCAGCCCCGGCCTTTTCGTTCTGTACTTCCATTTAAGTGTATGTCACATTCTCATATCACTGAGCCCGACTGAAATCGACTTTGGCCTACATGTTCATCCAGTGTCAGTTATACAATTCAAAAAGATTCGTCTGATTTCAAAATGATTTATTTCTCTTGTAAATCATTACAGATCAGTGCAGTGAACTGTAAATGGTTTAAATGAGCATAAAGTTTATTATGTAATTGTACAAGGTCTCAGTATGAACCTCCTCCAGCTGTACAGACAACATCAACTCCATAGTCAAACTCATCCCATACTGGATTGAGCATGTCGGGTGTCGCTGCACTCACGGCTCTTTCAGTGCGATTTCGGAGATCATCCAGTGTTGTAGAACCAACGACGAACGCTCTGAGCTGTTGGAGCTTCACTGCCCACGAAAATCACACTGCACAGTTATGACGGATTCACTCTTATTGAAGTGGAGAACGCAGAACGCTTTCTGCTCAGGGGTCTCATCTCCTCTCAGACTGAAGGAGCCATCTTCCACTGACAGTCAGAAACTCTATGACCCCCTCTTTCAATTGGATTGTGATTGGTTCCTCGGCCCCTCATGGTCGCAAAAAATATGCTGCTTTGAAATCGGATGAATCTTTTTGAATCACCCTGTAACACCGTAGTGCTTTGTAACAACGCTAAATAACCAACCTAGCATCAGTATTAAGGGACCTGCAGCTTGACTAATACAGTATGTTCAGAAGAAGTGATTAATAACTGATGAAGCAAAAACTTATCCCTCTTGTTCCCTCACACAGTGGACTTGGCTGGTGGTTATAACCTGGGGACTGTTAGCCACGACTCCAAGATTGACTGGCTAGAGTTGAATGAGACTGGTCGCAAGTTGCTCTTCAGGGACAAGAAGCTTCGGGTAAATGTCTCAGTTCTTGGGTTTAAGGGGGTCAGTCACGTTTGGTTGTTTGTTAATGTCAAAAGGGGCTGCATGGGTTTTTTTTACCATCAAGGCCATTACAGAGAAAAAAGTGAGGTCCAGTGGTGTCTTTGGTCATGTTTCTCAAGAATCCCAGAATCTGTTTATGCCCCGTCCACTAGCCCAGTGGTTCCCAGCTCTGTTCCTGGGCTTGCCCCTACACTGCATATTTCGGTGTTTCCCCTTCTCCCAGCATTCCTATCAACCTAATCAGCTGATTAACAAGTCCTTCATGACTTAAAGTCGGTGAGCTGGGAGCAGGTAAAACACCAGGAAGGGGGCGGCGGGGGGGGGCGGGGGGAATTGGGTACTCCAGGACCAGGGTTGAGAACCTGCACACTAGCACAACCCCTTCAAACCCGGACACAACCGAAACAGTGAATCCACAAACATGCACTAACGCATTTACTTCAAAGCCACAACAGAAAAGGCGTTCCTGCCAGCTGGGAATGCAGACCTGTACGAGTTGGAGCATTTGTTGCTGTGAGGACAAATCCTCAAATCCTCATATCTCCAAAACAGTCATTTTACAGAAGGCAGAAAAAAAACTTCTTAACTTTGAACTGGAGTTAAATGAACCAGGTTTTTTTGGAGTCATTTTGGAGCATTTCAATTGGTTCATTCATCAGCAAATATTAATGCAGTTTAAAGAGCAGCTGGTATTTTCAAATTATGTAAAAGATGAAAAATAAAGATATAACGTTTTATCCCAACAGCGGTTATATGTATATTTAATGGCAGAGTCTAGCGATGCATTTACATTTTCAGAATTGATTCTGGCATGACTATAAAATTATATCAGTTCTGGTTGGAAGCAACAAAAAAGAGACAACGACAGCTACGAGAAGGAGACATACAGTGGAGTTAATGAAGACAGCTTCTCAGTGTGAAATAAATTTACCTCAAGATATTTCAGGCAACTTGGATGAAATGAGATGAAAGCTGCCTTAGCTTATTTATTACAGGCAGCCTACAAGCCCAGCTCAGGTTTTCTGTTTCTGTCGAGTGTCCACAGAAATATGGAGTTTCATGGTTCAGAAGTCTGAGTTTTCCAGTCTGGTTCAAAAAGCCTAAACTTTAAATCCCTCTTAAAATCTTCAGGCATAAACTTATTAATAGTCTTTCAGTGCAATATTCACATTAATTCCTGCACAAGTCAGAAAATTCACTGAGATTAATAATGTTTATTATATATTATTATGTAGTTTCAATGCTAAATGACTTGCGGTAGGTTGGGGGCGGGGCTCATGCCTGTGCAGTGCTAATATAGCCACGCTGTATAGCTCTGGCCATCAGCTTAATAGGTTCTGGAATAAAACAGTTCAGTATCTCTAGAATTATATCAAAAATGTTGTGTTTCTGTTCTGATTTATTTAGAGGCCTGGAAAATTGATCAAGACTAATCGACGCTGTGACTGATCCTCTTTAACTTCACTGCCAGCGATAAAATGGAATGAAAGAACACTTGAGCTGTATCAACACCAGCAGTATGACAAAGCCTCTCTCACCGTTTTAGTGCTCTGATCGAGCCTCTGTTCTCTCTCTCTCTCTTTAGCTGAATCTGTTTGACATTGAAAGCGGTGTAAAGACCACCGTGCTGAGCTTTTGCTCCTACGTTCAGTGGGTGCCAGGCAGCGATGTGGTGGTGGCTCAGAACCGTGGGAACCTCTGTGTGTGGTACAACATCGACAGCCCTGAGAGGGTCACTATGTTCCCTCTGAGAGTAAGACAGAATATTTTAAACCTCAATAGAGAGAAATTCAGGATCAATCCAACCTCAAATGCTGAGAGCTGAAAATGATGCAGCCCTTAAGCCTGTGTGCTTTTTCCAGGGGGATATAGTGGATCTAGAGAGAACCAATGGCAAAACAGAGGTCATCGTGACGGAAGGAGTGAACACAGTCTCTTACACACTGGACGAAGGACTGATCGAGTTTGGAACCGCCATTGATGATGGAGATTATCACAGGTTAGTCTCAGCCTCAGACGCTCTACACACACATAGTCTGATGTCTATTACACGCTAAGCTGACCACAACCATCAGGATTTTGTCAGTTTCATTCTGATTGGCCAGGTGCAGAGCTGTGTGTGCATTTCCATGCAGCGAGTTTTATCAGCTTAAAGGGAAACACATAATTGCGAGTAGTGACTAACTGAGCCTTTCAGACTGAGATAGTCACTCTGAAGTTGGACATTACAGCTTTAAAAATTATTCACAAGTTTTCTTTGAAGCGTTTAATAGCTTTTAAGTGAGATGTCGGTGTTTGTTTATGCAATCATTTCCTGTGGGTTTGTTTTGGTTGCAGCCCAATTTTGAAAAACTGTCTGTCTCTATATGTCACACCAGAACAGTGCTCTGTGTTTAGTTTGCACTGTTGTACAAAACACTATCATGATTAAAATGACAAAACCTTAACTTTTAGCAATAGAGTAACACGTTGCAACACAAAAAACTTCAGCGATTAGAACCGATTAAAAAAATCATAAGAAAAGAAAAAATCTGCTTAGCTTATTAGGCTGTAAAAAATGCTGTTATGCCTATAGTATCAGTCATCTGAATTTTACATTCCTAAAATTGATACTGACATCAGGCACAAAATTTGCTTATTGATACAGGCCCACTCAGTGACCCCTATCCAGGTCACTCTTCAGCCTTTTTAGTTCCTGAAACATCTGAGCCAGGTGATCGGAATTCCGGAGTACATAAAAGAAGAACTTTAAAATTTCTGGATAAGAAAATCGGTGTAAACAAATCTCATTCATAGTCTCATTCAGCCTTGATCAGTCACAGTTGTTCACAGTGGTAGTGAGAGGAACCAGATGTTAGAAGAGTTTAACGCCTCTAAAAGCTCTCACAGAAAGCGACGCTGCCCAGTGCCTGAGAAACTGTATTACAGTAGTTCTGAGACTGAACTTTTGGCCTTACCCCTGTTTTACCTTTACCAACATTACGAACTCATTTTGATTTTTGGTCATTTTGGATAGTAAATAAAGTGGTTATATTTGTATTGGAGACATCATGACCCCTGATCTCCATCACTGTAAAAAATCAGAGTCAGCAAGCTTTTCTACAGTGAACTATTTCATAAACCACTGTGAACTTTGATTTCATTTGAGCCTTAAAATCGTGTGGATTTTTTTTTTTTTAATCACTGGAATTCCTCTTTAATTGTCTGTGTGATTATATTGGGTAGAACACGTGCAGACCTGGGGCGTCCTTTAGCCTTAAACTGACAACTTCTGCTTTGGACCCTTTTAGCCACTAAATGATGGACTTTTAAGAAGGTCTATCATTCACACTTTGTGTAAAGGGAAGAGTTTCAAAAGGAAACGGTGGATTTACAGGAGTCAATTACGACTCATGGGATTTGCTTCCTGAATGTCATCCAGGTGACTTGTGTGAGATTTTGGGTTAGGAGGGTGGACTTAAGTCTGATATATTTTCATTCAGACCTGCAAATATATTTGTTAACATTTGTTCATATTTCTACGCATCATAGAGCCACTGCATTCCTGGAGACGCTGGAAATGTGTGCTGAAACAGAAGCTATGTGGAAGACGTTGAGCAAGCTTTCTCTTGAAGCACGGCAACTGCACATCGCTGAGAGGTCAGCCTGGCAGCACCTAACGTATCATTTAGTCATGGCAACAACATCATTTTCATTTCATCACTCTCAGTGTTGAGCTTCTTACTTCATACTACCGTTATAACTTCGTAATACTGTTATATAAGCTAATTTGAGCAAAATTAGTGTGGAGACCAGAGTATGTGAGTGGAGTGGAGCGGCAGACATTCCTGATCAAGTGTTCTGTAATCACTCCACTCCGACTCCGCTTCGGGTTTTTTTTATTTTCCGCTCTTTACTCACATACTTATGGTATTTATTTTATGTCTTGAACATATGGACAATATACCGCACACTTTATTTCACGAATTATCTAAGTTATGGCTTTTATTAAACAAAAAACATTCTGTGCTAATCAGGCTTTATTCAGTAGGTAAAGGCTTAAAACAAAGAGCCAGTCACAAGCCAGAAAACTGCCAAATGCAGATGCTCTTAACATGATCTTCTTTATCCTATAGCAGCAAAATGGATATTGTGTAATATCTGTAGAACTTTGTTGCGATCACTACCCACTCTGCACCGCTCACATGCCCTAATGGATACACCAATATGGGATTTCAAAATACCTTATAGTGAATAATACTTTTATCAGTAGCCGAGTTGAATGAAATGTGATGGTTCTGCTGATGTTCGTAAGTAAGTATGTGGCTGAGATACCGCAGCTCTATCACTAACTAGGCTGGCTGCTCTAGCTGATGTTAAAAGTCCAGAAACTATCATTTTTCTGGCAAATAACATGTGGGCACATCATCCACTGAGGAGAAAATGCCTTGTGTAGAAGACGGCGAGTCCTCATCAGGCAGTGTGACAGTGGTTAGCTGTATTAGCTCATTAGCTTATCTAAGGAGGCGCCCTCTGTTACTCATCCAGCACAAAAACCTATTTCCTACCGATTTCCCTTTGTTTTTTTTTGGATAATAAGACACAAATTTTTGCAGCGCCAGTGCTCTCACCTATAAAGGCAAACCTACAGCCCTGCCTTATTTTGGTCCAAAGTCTGTTTGTTTTTGTTATAGTTATACCTTGTTTTCCTTCTCTGCAGTTAACTGGATATCTATTTGTGAGCTATTCTTAGGGATACTTGATTATCAAAATCAAAATTAGACTAAATGCACGTCCTGTTTAGCGGAAACTCTTGTCTGAATCCATTTACAGCAGTAGTTAAGACTGTAGGTAACACTGGGAGTCTTACCCACAGACTCTTGTTGATTTCTCCTTTCGGTACAGCAGTGTTGTGCTTCATGTATACAGTCATTTGTGCACTTACCTTCACCCAAACTGTGACCCCTGCCTGACTTGCACTGAGCATGTGCACCACTGTGATGCATTAGAATACTGCCCAGTCTGTATCCCGCATGCCTGTGTTTTTATGAATTTGTATTCGCGGATTAACTTGAGGAAATGTATTTAATCAGATCTGCTCTAATATTAAGGAATTACAAACATGCACCAGCCACACGCTAAAGCAGTGTTTAATGCTGAAACAGCTATACAAGTCGCCTCATTCTCTCTCCTAGTTTACTACTGCTTAGTATTAGATGGATGGATGGATGGATGGATGGATACTTTATTGATCCCGAAGGAAATGTATCAGCCAGTATCAGTCACACAACACAGCACAGTAATAATAAGGGTGGTACAATATGAAAAGAAGAATGTTCAGGCTCATTATGTTTCTTTCTATGGGTGAAAACGTTCAGGTTACAGCACACAGAGACGAGAGATACAGACAAAAACCTGCTCAGTGTTGCTGTTATTTTGGTTTAACATTAGCGTGTCTGTGGCTGAATCTCAAATGGCTCCTTACTCCCTCTGTAGTGCTGCGTAGGTCATTCAACATTACCAGGCTGATTTTTAGCCCTAATGTGACTCAGATCTGATGTTTTCAGAGCTGTGTGGACGCAAATCTGATCTTTTCAAATCCAACCTGAGCCACTTTCATATATGGTCCTAGATCGGATACGTATCCGATTCGTGGCCATGTGACCTTAATGTGACACTCAGATCAGAATTCATGTGCTTTTTTTCCACTGCTCTGCGCCATCATTCAGCGTTACCATGGCAGCAGCGCCGAACAGAAGTTAAAGCCTGTAAACGGTGGAAAAGCAGCTCATCTCACCTTTTTCTCCTTCGTCTCGCTCTAATAATGAAGCTGAGAGCTGATCAGAGTTAATGATCTTCTCAGCGAAGCTCGTTCTGCTCGTTAGTTTGTGCTGATGATGAACGTGATTCATTCACGTGACGTTACTGAGTAGGATGAGCTCATGAGGGTCATTTCAGGACGCCGGTTCGTCACATTAATGACAGATTTGAGTCACTTACCTAAATGAGTGTGAACCATCGTGTCAAAAAGAGATCAGATTTGAGCCAAAAATCTGATTTGAGCAACGAGGCTTGTAATGTGAACGTAGCCTAAGGCTTCTACACCCAAAGTGTATATTGCACTATATGTTTGCTAGGATGCTGTGCAGCTTTGACCTGAGTATAAATGTCTTTTATTCAGACATATAATGCACTGTGTGTGTAGAAGGCGTTATATAATGACCTTTATGGTGCGCACTACATAGGGGAGTTGAATGCCATTTAAGATTGAGCACATACACCAATCAGGCATAACATCATGACCACCTCCTCGTTTCTACGCTCATTGTCCATTTTATCAGCTCCACTTACTATATAGGTGCCCTTTGTAGTTCTACAGTTACAGACTGTAGTCCATCTGTTTCTCTGATACTTTGTTAGCCCCCTTTTACCCTGTTCTTCAGTGGTCAGGACCCCCATGGACCCTCACAGAGCAGGTACTATTTGGGTGGTGGATCATTCTCAGCACTGCAGTAACACTGACGTGGTGGTGGTGTGTTAGTGTGTGTTGTGCTGGTACGAGTGGATCAGACACAGCAGTGCTGCTGGAGTTTTAAACACCTCAGTGTCACTGCTGGACTGAGAATAGTCCACCAACCAAAAATATCCAGCCAACAGTGTCCTGTGGGCAGCGTCCTGTGACCACTGATGAAGGACTAGAGGATGACCAACACAAACTGTGCAGCAGCAGATGAGCTATCGTCTCTGACTTTACATCTACAAGGTGGACCGACAAGGTAGGAGTGTCTAATAGAGTGGTCAGTGAGTGGACACAGTGTTTAAAAACTCCAGCAGCACTGCTGTGTCTGATCCAGGAGGTGGTCATAATGTTATGCCTGATCTGTGTATTTTGCCCAGCTTTGTTGATGCCATTGTTATTGTAGCACTCGTTTTACCATATACAAGGTAAAACCACTCAGGTAGATAATCACAATTAGAGCGCTTTGTTTTCACTAATGAACGAGATGAAAGCATGTCCTGCGAGCAGGGAAGATGTGCATTTGTGTGAGTTCACAGTGAGTACTTAGTGAGAACTTCGAGAGAACAGTGCCTGAAACACAGTCAGGAAAAAAGTAGGCTGTGGTTCCTGGATTTGGTCTTAAAGGCCCTCTGCCCTGCGTGTTTTAGAGTTTTGCAGGCTTTAACTCATCTTCCTTCTTTAACTAGCTCTAAATGAGTTGAAGTGGTGTATAAGAGCAAAATGTGCAGGGAAGCGAAACTCCAGAACCAGAGCTGATGCTGCAATAAGGAAACAAGCTTGTTCCAGCTTTATTTGTGTGACTAAAGATGGGAAATATCTTCTCAAAGGTTCTGAGAATTTGAATTCCAGCTTTGTTATTATGGAAAAAGAAGTATTAGTTTGAAAACAGCTTAGACACTTTAGTAGGAGTTAAATATCTGCCAGACACCTGATTTGTGTGAGATTTGCCTTGAGACAAGTTCCTATATCAGCACATTCATACCTGCACATTCTGTTGCGATTCTTTTGCCCCAGTGTGTGTTTTGTTCTGTATGTTTTATGACTTGGAGCAAGAGAAGAGCTCTCGACCTGTGGCTTGTCATACAGTTGTCATACAGGAAGCAGCATCCTTGACAGCTAAAGATAACCCGAATGGGCTCGATATAGCTTCAGCAAGTAGCAGGCAGGTTTAGAATTCCCTTTTCACAGTACAAGCCGTCTCTGTGTTGGCAGGAGTGGGCAGAGCGGAGTTAAAAGTTAAATTTAATTGTAACGTGGCATCAATAATGCAAGGTACCGTGCGTTATGTGTGGGCCGATCTGCATAACGCATGCAGAGAAAAACAGTTTTGTTCATGGAGAAGAATGGAAATGAAGGAAAGGAAGAGAAATAGAGAGAGAGAGATGTCGAGACAACCACTAGGAGAGCAGCGTATCAGCGTGATGCAACTTTAGAGAAAGAACCAGAAATGTGGTCAGACCTTGACGGTCCTGCCTGAGTGTTTGGGTCTGAAAAGGAGCCTTTCAGCAGCATTCGGCAGATGATTTCTCCTAAAGTCACACGCATGTATATTCAGAACTGTTCAGTATTCTAGTATATTTGGAGTGTTTCTCAGGTCAAGTGACGTATTAATACTACGTAGAAGTTACTAATGGAAGATACAGAATCGTGCTGCCAAAAATGACATGCCTTTCTCATTGTTTTCCAGGTGCTTTGCAGCCTTGGGTGACGTATCCAAAGCTCGCTTTTTGAATGAAACCAACAAAATTGCTGATTCCATCTCTAAGGAATTTGTGAGTAGATAAACAGTTTTAGGTACATTGTTAAAACCATGTAGTATTAAAGAAATATACTGTCTTTAAACAGAAATTTGAAGTTCACAAAATGCTGCAAGTAAGAATTTCATTATGGAGGTTGATTAGTTTACATATGCAAATTTAAAATTCTTGAAACTACTTACAAATAAACAAAGCTCCTGATATGAACTGGAGCCAAGGCCAGCTAAGCTGTTGTTGTTTTTCCTCATTGTTCTTCACTGTAGGGTGGTGATGGCACAGAACATTACCAAGTGAAAGCCCGCTTAGCTATGTTGGACAAGAACTACAAACTGGCTGAGATGTACTACATGGAACAGGTAATTTTGTACTGAACTGTGTACAGTATCAGTATTGAGAGGTTTATGTGTAAATAAGTGGATATAATCATGTTGTTCCCCACAGAACGCAATAGATGAGGTGATGGAAATGTACCAGGAGCTGCACATGTGGGATGAATGCATAGCAGTGGCTGAGGCCAAGGTAACATCAGTGTTTAAGGAAAATAGAATAAAATCACATTTGCACAATAGAAGTGGATCAGTCAGGACATATTTGTTGTCCAGTTTTTTCTTCTTTAACGTAGCACTGAAGCTACGAGACTAATGTAGCTAACAAACACTTGTCAGTAGTCGGTTTTTTCCCTAAATGCGTCCCCAAAACTTCATTAAGGTTGCACTGACTTATCAATGAATAATAAAAATAAACAAATCTTCGCCGTGTATCTGAAAGCAGCTATTTTAGACAGCAGGTGTTGTGCTGAATCCTGACTCCCCAGTCACAGATTTCTTTAGTGATTTCTGTTGTTTCTGTTACTAAATAACTGTTAATCTCAACATTTCAAACTGAAGATGTGTTTTATAAGCAGAAACAACAGAAATCTAGCATTCCCATATCTGCGTTACGTGAGAGAAGTCGGAGAGAAGTCGGGTTTTATGAGGGAGTTGGAAATGCCTGTAGTCTAATATGGCTGCCACCAGTGTTCAGCTACACAGTGAACCTTTGTTCGTTTTTATTTTTCACAGTAATGCTGCGTTCACATGACAACGTTGGAAATACCTTTCTGTGCCTCATAGCGTTTGACTGGAGGCTGAATACACAAATGGAAATGACAGCAGTACCAGTGAAAATGGAGCTTTAGTAATGTAGATCGTGTATTTAAGGCGGTAAAAGTCAGGAGGATGCTCTGTACTGCTGTGTTGTATTATACCAGGTCAGGGGTGTCAAACTCAACCAGTGAAAGGGCCATATTACAAAATCCCAACAAATCTGAGGGCCAGAGAAAAAAAAAAATATTTAAATTTCATTTTTAATTAATGTTGTGCTGTGACCTGAACTGGCCACTGTTTATTCAAATTATGCAAGAACTTCAACAGTAAAATACAGACACATGTAGCAGACCTTGAAATATTACATGAATGCTTGAAATATTCAGAATTAAAACGTCCCCAGGAGCTCAGTGTTTTAAACCCACCTGTCTGAACTAGACTCCTGGCATCTTTTCTTTACTGCTGGTTCATTAAGACTTGGGCTCAGTTTTTGAGCTGCTGAGCTGACGTTACGTGTTTATAGTGGCTGAACTGCAGCTGAAATGCAGCCAGTGTGTTTGGCAATGTGACTAGTATGGAATTCTGTAGAGTTCTGTAGAATTGAGGTGTAGCCGCGGTCCCATAGATTGTTGTTGGGGTAGAAGAGTCAGAGCACATTATGTTGCAGTGCATGCTGGGGACTGTAGTGCAGCACATTGTGAAACGAGCCAATATTAATAGAAAATTAAAATATTTTTGTGGGCTGGACAGGATTGTTTGGCGGCCCTGATCTGGACCGTGTGTTTGACACATGGGGTACTAGGTGACCCTAGACTTTAACAATGGGATGTTTAGCATCCATGGCTCCTAAAAAAATCAACATCTGGTTTATTCCACTGTCACGGTTGATGGCTACAGTTGGGAAAATGTAACCGCCACCTGCTGGGGTGGCAGAATTTCCCGTCGCAGCTTCTTTGAAAACTATATATCCAGTTGCCTGTGTCTCTCTGTCGCCACCATGTACATGCGCCTACGCCGCACTATACCCTAAACTATTTAGAGAAATGTGTGAAACCATATTTAAGACCTAGATGAGCAGATTATAAGACATTTTGGGATGGATTTCCAGAAAAGATTTGGGTGATTATTGGCGTCTAGCTTTTGTTAGCAACAGTAGCCTCATAGCTCAAGTGCTACAGAAGCAAAATTTGGACTCCATGCATGTCATAGCAGGTTGACTCCATCTGAGTGAGTTAGATTTCTTTTTACCAAAGTATTCCTTTAAAATACACCCTATAGAGCAGGAGTCTTTAGATAAAATTAAAATTAAAGGTCCAGTTAGAGAAAATTTCCTTAAGCAAAGGTCCAGAACATCATAATGTCTAACTTGCATTATGATTCAGTGCCATATACTGTTTACTGAAGTAGCCTAGTAGGTATATCAACATCTTATACGGTCAACAACTGAATATCAAATCAAATAAAGTGCAGTTCAGTCATATTTCAATGACATTTATTGTCAGTTTTCTCTTTTTAGAGCACAGCGTGTAAGACAATCCAGCTCACTTTCTTCTCCGACAGCTGTTTCTTACCTCGTCCCTCCCCTGTGTGTACATCACTCACTTGAGTCTCGGTGCTCATCATAATGCACTGATCTGATTGGCTGAATAGCGTCACGTGTGATATTTACAATGTCTGCAATTGGTCTGTGAGTCTCCCGGGCCGCTAAAGCTACCGTAAAGGCTAGAAAAGCTATGCCGATTAAAATAGGACCACCCCTTCGAAATTAAATAATTCTCCATAGTTTATCGGTTATAGGTCCAGGTCCACATAGGACAGCGTCTGGGTCCAGACTCGGACCGCGGTCCGCCCATTAGTAACCTCTGCAATGGAGTTTACTGGACTATAGATGGAGTCGTTCATACAGAAACGTGTTCAGCTTGTACTGTTTACCTTTACCTGCTCCACGGCCATTGCAAATAAAAGTAGTTTTCAAACCTACTTTCTGTAGGTTTACTGCTGTTTACGACGTGATCATATGTGTGCTGTCCTTTCCCAGGGTCATCCAGAGCTGGACAATCTGCGGCGCAGTTACTACTCCTGGCTGATGGAGACCAATCAGAATGAGAAAGCAGGGGAAGTGAAGGAAAGCGAGGGTGACTATATGGGGGCTGTCAACCTGTACCTGAAAGCAGGGCTTCCAGCCAAGGCTGCCTGGCTTGCCATGAGCAGGGATGAGCTCCTGGCCAGCAGTGATGTCATCAACTGCATCACTGCTGCCCTCATCAAAGGGGAGTTCTATGAGAGGGTGAGTCAAACCTGAGTTCCTCCATGGAGGAGGCGTCACTTTGCCCTTATTTTTAACGAAGTGTACCTCATTTGTCCCAGTGGTTTTCACACACAACATGATCTTTCGGAACATGGTCCGTGTTAATGAGCTGTCCGGCTGTTGAGTTTGTTGTAGTTGCATTAAACATAGCTCAGTTTATTTACTGGTTTAGGATTCATTGTTTTCAAATCTAACTTTAATGATCTTAAAGTCATTAATATCACTGAGATTTAAAGTGATTACACTGTTTTTTAAAATTTCTGTGTAAAACGGTGAACAGTCATTCAGAGTGGTGTATTGTAGTAAAACTCCTAATTTCTTTATAATGGTACTGATGGGAACCAGGGGCCAGAAGAGTCTTGAGAAGAAAAGTTTTCTTAAATGTGTGTTTTTTTCAGAATTTTATGCTTAAAAAAGTTATTTTTCAAATAACTTCTTAAAAATTATATTTTTCCTTGACCATTTTCTTATTATAATAAAAAAAACAGTTCAGAATTATTTCTAAGAACAGGCGGTATTCTTTAAAAAAAACATTAGGCTTGTTTTAGGCTGTAAGAGCATCTAAATTTGTCAGTTTATTAGGGACACTCCTCTGCTGCTCTTGTCCTTCGTCGTCTCTTGCTTTCCACCATCACTTTCTGCCACAATTATCTTGTTTTCCGAAGGAGAACTTTTTTCCTGCTAGCTGTTTTTTTTCACCATCACCACTGGTTCTTGTTTTTGAGTTTTTGAATGCTTGGCTGGATGTTTTTCCTCCATTTTGCTGTCCTCTGTGCAGATTAGACTAAATAACGGAAATAAAGATTAATACAAGTTTAAAATGTATCTTGCCTTGTTTATGGTAAGATGCAACATAGCCAAACAGAAACACAGTGAAGATTTTCTTAAGAAAATCGTAAGGAAATAAATAAGATTATCTTAAGAGAATATTTGATAATTTAATTTTTTTGAGAATTGCATTTAAAGGGAAACTTCCCTGCTTTTTCAAAAATCCTACATAATTAATTAGTTAAGATGTAAACAAAGTCATTCTGAATGGTTTGGTGTGAAATGCTCAATTTTAGAGAAACTAGCGAGACGAGTCTAAATCTTTCACAGTGGTGGTGATAGGAACCAGGCGTCTGAATGAGTTTATTGCCTTTAAAAGCTTCCACACAGAATGTTATGACATGAAATGGTTATGAATACTCAGCCTGATGTCTCAGACACTGTTTTACTGTAGTTTTGTGATGAAGCTTTGGCCTAAAATGTATTGTAATCAGTTTATTTTAATCCATTTATGGTGGAGGGATACATGGGTGGCAAAATAGTCTGCAAAGAAACCTTATTTCAGATTTTCAGATTATTCCAGATTCAGATTTCTGATTACATTGGATAGTAAATAAAATGGCTATATTTTGGTTATAGACATGGCGACCCCTGGTTCCTATCACCACCACTGTAAAGACATCAGAGTCTGTAAGTTTCTCTGCAGTAAACCATTTCACATCAAACCACTCTGAACGACCCTGTTTACATCTCAGGGACTGAATTATCCAGAAATGTAGAAACATTGGTGGAATTCCCCTTTAAGAACACTGGGCCTCATTTCCCAATATCTTCCCAAGCTTTTCCTTAAACTTGTTCTTGACTAAGGTCCTAAGAAAGAAGTCTACATCAGATTTGTCACATTAACCTGCAGAAATGTTCTGACCTCTGTTCTTACCTAAGAACAAATCCTAAATAAGAGAACATTGGTGAGTCAGAAAAATGTGAAAACTGCAAAGTGGGTTTAAGAAGAAATTTCTTCTTGTGAATTGTTTGAATGAGAACCTTTGCAGGTTTTTTCTTAAGAAAGCTTTGGTCAATCCAGCCCCAGGAGTCTCAGTGTCTACAATGCATATTTATAAATATAATATTCTCAATTTACTATCCAAAACAGCAGCGGCCACCTGTGTCTTCTAGGTTTTTTACATGTAATGTCAATAATTGTGGAAAAGTGGAAAATATGGAGAAAAAATGTTTTGGGTACGATTTTGCCATACACCTCTCCACCATGAAAGGATTTAAAAAATATATGTTTTAGGCCAAAACTTCATCTCTGAACTACCGTAAAACAAAGTCACAGGCATCAGGTAACATTTATAAACTTTTTATGTAATAACTTTATGTAAGGTAGCTTTTAGAAGCGTTAAACTCTTTGAGTGTCTGGTTACTATCCAGCCAAGTCAAAGTTTATTTACGTGGCGCTTTTTACAACAGGTGTTGTCACAAAGCAGCTTTACAGAAAAACCCGGGTCTGAGCCCCCATGAGCGTCGCCAATGGCGACAGTGGCAAGGAAAAACTCCCTAAGAGCAACAGGAAGAAACACTGAGAGGAACCAAGACTCAAAAGGGGAACCCATCCTCCTCTGGACCACACCGGATAGCAAAAAGCACCCACTCTGAATAGTTCTGACTCAGGAAGCTTCTCTAGAACAGAGCTAGGGTTAGGGTTAGGGGTTAGGGGTTAGGGGTTAGGGTTAGGGGTTAGGGTTAGGGGTTAGGGGTTAGGGGTTAGGGTTAGGGGTTAGCTGTACGTACCAGAAGACTGATCTTTGTTTTTTCCCTACCACAACAGGCAGGTGACCTATTTGAGAAGATTAAAAATAACCAGCGGGCTCTGGATTGTTATCGTAAAGGCAGCGCTTTCAGGAAAGGTGAGTGTGGTTTAGAACCAGTTCAGAGTGTGACAGAAAGTGGCTGCATTGCAAAGAGAATTTCATATGATACGGATTGATTGATATAACAATTATTGTTAATTCTTGCAGAGTCTACTTTCTGACGGTGTTGGGTAGGAAAGAAGTGTTTGCGAAGTGTTGGTGATAATATTGAAAGTGCAGTTCTTTCTGCATTACAGTGCAGATTCTCCCCATTTCAGATGAATCGTTCTGTAGATTGAGCTCTGAAACGCGGAGAGTTGTTTGAGGAGATTGTAGTCTAAGTGCTACCGAGATTGCTCTAAAACTTCAAACTACAGGGGATATTAGCGAGACCAGTAGCGTGACCAGTGTACATCCGTCCACACAGCTGTGGAGCTGGCACGTGTTGCCTTCCCTTCAGAAGTGGTGAAGCTGGAGGAGGCATGGGGAGACTACCTGGTCCAGCAGAAGCAAATGGATGCTGCCATCAACCACTACATAGAATCGGGGTGAGTTTTAGGACTGTTACAAACTGCACAGTTCAATGTTTTCCCTGGAGCAACACACTTCGTTCAGCTTTTGAAGCATTTGTTAAAGACCTGGTTTGTATTTAAGCCTAAATGACTTTTCATTTCAGAATTGCAGCTCTGCTCACACTACACACAATCAATCACTTGTAATCTGTTGTGCGCCAACGAGACTCGTACCGTACAGCGTCTTTGAACTGGAGAGTTCTCTGAGAAAGTGTACTGTATGCCCAGACACCACTGTCTGTCATGTGACACTGTGCAGAAACAAAAAATAAGAGAATGGAAAAGAGGCTGCTCCTACTCCTAACTGTGTAGGGACAGTGAAAGGACTGGACATTTAAATTCAACAGCTTTATGGTAAAAAACAGATTATTTAAATACTACAGAGTATTGGAGAATTGGTCAGTAGTAGTATCCGTGAACCCTTAGGCATCCTCATTACAAAACCTGGACTGGAGGCCTAGATTACATTCTGTCTTTGTATTGGAATTTAAAAAAAAGTTAGACGATAATCCTGCCCTGAGCCGTACAGCCTGAGCAGCCTAATATCATTTTTCTCCAGTAACCCCTCTGCCATGATCTGGTTGTTCACACATCAGTCCCTTTCACTGGCTATTGCCCATCGCTGGGTTTAATATTTGTCCAACATTAGCAAACATTAATTAACATATTGCAGGTACCTAAGGGTACACAGTATAGGTGGCTAATATTTGCCACTAAATGTGACATTTTTTTGTTATCAGTTCAATTTAGTGGTTGGCATTTTCATTGTTTTAAACTCAGCATAGTAAAGCTGTGTATTGGCAAGAACCTGGCGATACGATACAGATCATAATACAGAGGTTACAATTCAGTATATTGTGATACTGTACGGCCATATATTGCATTTTTTTTCATCGGATTTTAGGAAAACTGCCGTAGTGTAAAAAAGCACCATCATATGCATGAAATTTGAGTGAATAAAAAAAGCTTTTACTTTTTAGAACAGTGGAATCTGCATTTGCATTTATCACCAACATCCAACAGCACTTATTTATAGGTAGAGCTCTACATAAAACCATAGGTAGGACGCTTGACTGCCTAAATCACATGAAACTGACATCAGCTTGCTATTCACCAGCTTCTTGTTCAAATTTTCCTGTTCCACCTTAAATGGTGCAGCAGTTATTATAACCCCAGAGGCACCAGAACATAACTACTGCACCATTTAAGGTGGAACAGGAAAATTCAAACAAGATGTTGACGAATAGGAAGTCAGCTTCGGCTTCAGCCTCGTCTAAATCTGCTTATCAGAAAATGTTACCAGCATTAAATCACCTTATCGGGTAAGTGGTAATACACTCATCACCAAAAAAATAGTTGCACCCAGAAAGAAGTGTCGGATTTTAATGCTATTCTGTAGGAAGATGAAGGTCATCTTAGACTGATATGGGATATTTATTGAGCTACACATACAGAAGTCGTGTCTCTCAGTTTGGCGTCAGGCTGTAATATTTGCTAACACAACATGCCAGACGTCTCGACATGGAGCTGTAGAGGTTCCTAATGGTGTCCTGTGATAATCAGCTTTAATATTCTCTCTCAGTTCCTGCAGATTTTGTGGTGGGGTCGGAGGGTTAATAGCGTGTCCAATAGCACTCCGCACATTTTCAGTCAGGGATAGGTCTGGCGATGCAGCTGGCCATGGCATAGTATCTGTGTGTTCAACGCAGCTCTTGAGACGGCAGCGGTCTGCGGACGAGCGTTGTCCTCATTGATGTAATGTTGGGCTGTCAAAGTGCCTGTAATGAAGACCAAAGGTGATCTGGCATCGTATGAAATTGCACCCCACACCACGACACCAGGCCTTCTGGACTTTTGATGCGTGAAAAAAAACCATTCACATTGGCACTGACCACGGTGCCTCCACACACGGATTCGTTGGTCGTCTCCACCAAGACAAAAGCAGGGCTCGTCACTGAAGATGACCTGCTGCCATTCTGAGTCGTGGCGTTAAGGGCAGTCGCCGTAATGGTCTGCGTGCATGTAGTCCTGCGTCAAGCAGCCGTCCGCCAATGGTGCTGGCACTAACAGGATGACTCACGGAGGGCTTCACTGCTCGCTGAATGTCCGCAATTGTGACTGTTGGGTCACTCCGCGCATGTTGGTCACTCCACGCATGTTGGACGTGCAATGGGGCGACCCTATGTAGTCAGTCAGGTGCAGCGATAAGGCACGTCCTTGCTTACGTCACATGTGTGACCGAGCATAAAACTTGAATCCTTTGCATGTCTCACAATGTAAAACCTACCCACCAAGTTTTATTCCTGTTGGTTGATTCCTTCTGGGTGCAGCTGGACAATACAATAGACTTTACAATAGACTTGAAGTAAGGCTGAATTACCATTAAAATCACAAGTTACTACACTATACTAATGATTTGGGCATGCTCCCGCGATGGGTAGGACAGACTGTTAGAACACCTGTCTTCAACCATCTAGCATTGCTAGTCAGCTTCAAACTTCATGGAGCTAAAACCCGTGTTGTGTTACTGCATTAGTCTTTCCTCCATTTCACTTCCTCCATTTCCACAATGAAGGTGCTCTTCCAAGGCGGTGGAGGCGGCCATCGGGGCGCGGCAGTGGAAGAAAGCGCTGCATATCGTGGAGCTGCAGGAGGACAGATCTTCTGCCAAGTACTACCTGAAGATTGCCCAGCACTACGCCTCCATACAGGAGTTTGAGGTAGGAGGGCGCTGGCTCTAGACTGGCCTTGAGACTCAGGGCGCATGTATTAAAATGATGATGAATAGTAGAAAGAGACTGTCTCACATTCATCCTTTTATTAGGGTGAACAGCTTTTAAATTGCGTTCTATAGGATGACCTCTGTCTTCCTTCGTGCCCAACTGCCCAGTGACCCTGATGTATTGAGCCACTGTGAGTTTGTGAAAGGTTAAAAGTGATACGTAATTGAAGAGCTGACCCAAGGGCTGCAAACTGTGAAGAGATCTGAAAATGTTGTAGGTGTTATTTGTCTGTTATAAACACTAATCCTGTAAATCTAATGCCATTGTCAAGGTTGTGGTCGTCTGGCCGATTAAATAAGAGGTCATTATGGTCTTGAGTATGAGTGGGCCTGTTCTAGGTCATTGAGATGCTTTGTGCAGTCTTTTCATTAAAGGCAGTTCAAACAACTTAGATATTAATGTTTTGAAAGGGTATTTGCAACGTTAGTCAAATTAATTGCAGAAAAAGGTTTAATGCCAGATCTGTCCAGTGTACTGCGTCTCAGCACTCGTCCTGCCTGAAGTGTTGCTCCGACCTCTTTTTGTGTCCAGAGCTGTGTTAAATCCTTCTGCATAAAACAGTTCATTTGTTTTCTATCATTACATCATTTATCATTTATGATTCCTCACAATGCAACAGTCTTAAGTGGAAACAATCATATTGAATCGTATACATCTGTAAGAATTTTATTTTAAATGTCACAAATCAAATTAATCAAAATTTAACAACAAAAGAAATTTGTTTAAACAAATTTGTGATATTTAAACAAGTGCATGTAAAATTCCACTCCAACTTGACCACCACAGCACGTTAGTGGCTCAGGCAGTGGTCACAAGCGAATCATGGCCATGAACAATGCAGAGAAGCCACTGCCCAAGCACTGCTTATCGTAAAAATAACCCCAAAATACTACTGTCTATTTTGGCTTTCAGTTCATTTTAATTAAGCTTTGACAAGCAGATGCTCTATATGTGGACGCCTTGTACAGTAGTCAACCAGTCATCACATAGTGCTGATTAGCTACAGCACCAGGTGGTTCCTAAGAAAAAATCGGCCAGCACCCCATTAGCACCCCCTATTTGATTCGATTATCATGATATTGCAGAAATGACTGAAGAATGAAGTAGGAGACACTACAGTGAACACAAATGAAGCTCTTTATTCGGTAAATAAAAACAGGTTTACTGAACTTTAACTTGGAGAACACGACTGAGTTTTGCAGCACCTACAGCTAAACAGCATCCTGTCCTCCTACGCAGAGCAGCAGAGGTGCTGCAGTATTAATGCTGTGAGAGACCATAAGTATTTTCTGAAAAATCATTTTAAGATGTTATCTGAAGTGTAGGCCTTTTTTCTCAACAGCCGCCCTGCTTGTAAAAGACTCAGTGTACTTCAGTGATAAACAAATTCAAGGCATTACAGTACATTTTATTAGGAGAGCCATCAACAGAATTTCTAGCCCTTTAAGAGCTGTTTGAATGAGAGGAGTAGAATCATGGAGTCAGTCATAGTAACAGCCTGGGAGCAGCTGGGCTTCAGGGTGGAGCTTCAGATGGATCAAACTAGGAAAATGCAATGGCGTTGAAAACGTTAGTGGCGTTAATCATTATCATCATTACTACTGTGATTGCAGAATTCATTCGTTGATCAAATTGTTCTTAGTTCTCTTGATTTTTGAGTCAGAAAACAATGAGTTATGAATTGTGAATCAAGTCTAATTAAAGATTCACACCCCTAGCATAACATCTAGCATATTGTTGCTGTCTCATCAAAAGCTGTTTCTATAGGCTGTTTGAAATAGTCTAGATCATTTTACATTAACATTCAAGTTTAAGAACAAGTTTTTCATTCTATTGAAAAAAGTTTTGCTTTGTAACAACAACATGCTAACGCACAGTTTGTCCATTGCATCTGTAGGTAGCAGAGCGCCTGTTTGTGAAGGGAGACCACATCAAAGATGCCATTGACATGTACACTCAAGCAGGGCGATGGGAGCAAGCACACAAGGCAAGAACCTGATGTTCTTCTGGAGAACCAGAAATCACGTAGAGTAAAAAAGGCACACACAGAGAAACGGGTCGCAGCTCGGTTTGACTGGCAGAACTTCAGAACGCAGCCAGATGATTAAGATGAATGTTTAATGATTCCATTGCTGGATTCTCATCAGGTGATCTTGAATTACTCTGATCTGTAAATGAAGAATATGATTCACAAAAAATTCTGTTCATAATTTTCAACCCAGCTTGCTGTGAAGTGCATGACTCAAGAGGAAGCGTCTTCTCTCTACATCAGCCGAGCGTACGAGTTAGAGAAGGAGGGAAAGTACAAAGAGGCTGAAAGGTACAAACACAAACACAAACACAAACACAAACACTCTCTCCAGCCAACTTTTTGTTTCACCTGTCCATTTTCAGAGTTATTGATCAACACAGCCAGCTGGTGAAGTTAATTATGGATTGTATAGCCCTAGCTGGCAAACGGCTGCTGATGGTGGATGGAAAGGATATCAAGAGGCTGCTTTATATTTCAGTCACTCTTTCGTGCTCATTGTTTAGGCCAGAGTAGGTCAAAGTCTTACAGCAAGAAATTGACAAGGAAAAGTGTTCGGCTTGTTGTGCATCGACAGCGAATTGGACTCTGATAAGGTGATGTATGATGTGGTTCTGGGTTAATTAAATTCCAAAGGCAATCATAACAGAGTGTGTCCTCTCCACACTGGCTGCAAAAGCAGTGTGACTTAGAATGTGATAAAGTTTAATTTACGTATCCAGATAATAAAATTTTACACTGTTTTAATCTATAATGTGTAAAACTGGCTTTACATGGTGAAACTTTCATGCAACTAGTAGTGAGTTGCCTGCAACATAGGATAAGATAGAACTATAGGAGTATTCTGTATATGTTTTTCTATTGTGTGTATTTTAAGCCTCTGAAAGTAAATGTTTAAGTAGCCATTACGGTTATAGCCAACTTAATGTCTCACTCATCTTACAAGGTAATCGAGGAGCACATCTCAGTCTCCCCTTCTGTAATAATTTTCATCATTTGGAACTCAAATGAATCTGACCTCTGTGAGAAAATGAATCTAGTTACCTGGATCTCAGTGTCAGCTGGCTAACAAACTGAATAAACTGTGGGACAAGCAGCCGTTTAAAGAGCTGTTAGCGTTAGCTGGTTGGTTAACGTGGCTGGTTTCAGCTTGAAGAATATTATATTTGTTGTCATGGATCAGGAAACCATCAATTGATCGGTAAAATCAACCATTTGCAAACATATCGTTCAGTGTTATAAAGTGAGATGCTGTCGGCTTTTTAATTTGCTGTTTCATGAAACTTGTTTCACAAAAACACATGCATCCATCCATCCATCCATCCATCATCTAAACCGCTTATCCTTCTGGGTCGCGGTGGGGTGCTGGAGCCTATCCCAGCTGTCATTGGGCGGAAGGCAGGATACACCCTGGACAGGTCGCCAGTCCATCACAGGGCAGACAGACAGACAAAAACACATGCAACTGTTGCAAATGAGTTTCAGTTGAGTAGCAGGAGGCTTTACATTATACAATGTGCAGTTTAGTTTCATGTAGGTTTCAAGCAACTGAAATTGCGCAAACATATTTTTATGTAAAGTCAGCCTGAGGCCCTGCTAATATGGATCAATACCAGTTATACGGAATATTCTAATATATGGTAATTAGCCAATATAATTTATGATTGCCACAAATTAAATACTGCAGTAGATGTAGCTAAACAGTGTTTTATTGACTGATATTTTCAGTTGGATGAATTAGCAAATATTGTTGTTTCTCAACTGTCAAATTTATTAAACTAAACAGAAGAAACTAAGCAATAACCAAGCAATAACCAAGTCCCACCCTGCTTAGCTTCTGAGATCAGACAAGATCAGAGGGTTCTCAAAGCTGTTTAACTGGGGCTGTTTGGCAGTACAGACCTTTATCGGTACCCCAGCACACTTTATAATCCAATAGATACAGACGTCGTTTTCTTGCTTGCTCAATAAAGACGTCTTTTCACTGTATTCAAGGATGACGTTCAACATAAAGGCAAGGCTGAAAAGCTGACCGTCCCAGCTGGCCTTTCATCTGAACACTAGCCAAACCCGAATCTGACAGGACGTCCCTACAGCACTCAAGAATCTGCCCTCAGAAAACCCAGCCATTTTGCTCAAACTCCATTTTCACTTCCGTTTCTCACCAATCAGCTTACAGCACCTGATTCATTTCTTAGCGGTGAAATCTTCTCCTCAGTGGACTGTCCACTTATACCAATACAGATTTGATCTGCTTCTCCGTTTCTTGCCAATCAAATCACAGCAGTTCCCAATTCCACAGAATCGGCTCTTATATTAGTGCATAGTGTTCTGCTGATATCTAACCAGTGAAATGTTCTCGGCTGTGAACCACCAGTTTCTGAACAGTAAAAAAATCTCTCATGTTTCTCTTACCAGTCAAATTGCAGCAGTGCCTGTTGCCATAGCAACTACTATCTAAGTTAAAAAGAGTTGCAGGGTTTTTGTTTGTTCTTTTTTTTTGTTTTTGTTTTTGTTTTTGTTTTTTGAGGAGCTGTCGTTTGTATGGCTGTTGGTGCTAACTACTTAACTAGTTAATAGACTCTTATTTTTCTTCAGTTTTCTTAGTAGTAGTTTTCTCAGACTGAAGGTTAGAAAGTTGGCATATGAGCATTAATCATTGAACCATCAGATATCAGTGATTTCCTTAGTTCATGAGTAAATAAGCCACTAAGTTGCTGTGCTTTACCAGCTGGTAGCCAACCAGCTTTACCAGTGCGGCCCTGTGGAAATGTCAGAGACCACCCTTTTATATGTTTACTTACCAACCACAAGTTATTCATGTTTCAGTGTCAGAAAAAAAGCAGTTAACACACATCTTACAGAATTTTTTTCAAAATTAGTTTTTCAGTGTTCGCCCTTTGCTCACCCTTTCCTTTATTATAGCTTCCATTCTTTTCAGGAGACTTTTCAAAGAAACCTGCCGGGAATGTTTTCCACTCCTCCAAAGTTCAGTCTTAGAAGTTGGTTGCATTTTCTTCCTCTCATGATACCAAAAGCAAATTTAGACTCATCAGTTGAAAAACCTTAAGTGTATAAAATTTCCAGTTTCAGTGTTTTGGTGCAAATCTTCTTTTTTTGTTTTCTTATTTCTTTTTCTCAGCTCACATTCTTTCAGACCTTAGAGTTGATAGAAATGCCTGTGGGTTTTTTCAGATCCGATGCAGGAGTTGAGCTTGATTTTCTCTCATCTCTCAAACATGAAGGCTTTAAGTAACGTTTCGTTTTGTGTGAGCAGTTTTATTTCTAATAGTGACCCCAAAGATCTTGTGTTTACTGGCCCATTTAGAATAGAAATGAAATGAACAGAGGTGTGATCTCTGACTTTGGCACTGATGTGTTGTAATAAGCCGTAAGGGATAAACCACATGTTTCTTTGTAAATGTAGTTTTCAAATGTTTTATCTGCTGCGTATTCAACTTCTTTCAGGCTGTTTGTCACGGTCAGTGAGCCCGATTTAGCGATCACTATGTACAAGAAGAACAGGATGTATGATGACACAATCCGTCTGGTAGCCAGACACCACAAAGACCTGCTGCAGGAGACGCACATTCACTTAGCCAAGGTGAGACAACTTGATTAAAGAGGTCAGCATTGTCTGAGAGTTTATATCATAATTTGTCTGCTGAGATCTGTCTGCACTGGACATTTACCTGCTGAACTGACCCGTCTGGCAGGTTTCAGCGCAGCTCTCCTAAACACTGCTGTGCTTTTCAGGAGCTGGAGGTTGAAGGACGCTTTCAGGAGGCTGAGTATCACTACATCGAGGGCCAGGACTGGAAGGCTGCAGTCAACATGTATGGCACTAATGATATGTGGGAGGAAGCCTATCGGGTATGTTCCTGCTAACCTACTGTGTCGCCTGTGTGTGTACAGGAATGCTTCACCTAAGACAGTAAGGAGACATGAAAGAAAGCAGAGTTAGTGGTTCATTTTCATTATTTGACTAAATGAAGTAGAAGTAGTATTGCCTGCACACTGCTGAGTTAGACAAGTCTAGCAAAAGAACATTTTTATTCCATTCAAGAGCAAAAAACCAGACACAAACCGAGCGACGTTTCAGCTTCTTGCTATCATCAGCGCTCTTGAACCGACTCTCTCAACCTACGTCCTTTTAGAGACTCAGACAGATTGACCTCACCTGTGTGGGTTCTGCTAGGACAGGGGTGCACAACTCTGGTCCTAGAGGGCCAGTGTCCAGCACAGTTTGGTGATTTACCTACTAAGACACTGGCCCTCCAGGACCGGAGTTGTGCACCCCTGTGCTAGGGCCTTCTTACAGGTGACAGTACACCAACAAGGAAATATACTCAGTTTGCAAAAACAAAAATCAGAAATCAAAAACATCAAAAACATCAGAGACTATTTCAAAATAATACATTCATCAAAAACAGTCTAATTTATAGGAAACAGCTGAGATTACGATCCTCAGTCTTACCGTTAGGAACCAAAGATAAAGGTTCACAAATCCAAGAAGCCTCCCTCTGTAATAGTCTTTTGTCCCGATCTCCCTTCTTCTTCATCAAAAACCCTCTCGATACCCAGGAAACATAAATCTGTAAGAGAATATTTACCTCAAAATGACGGAAAACCAGAGACACGTCATCCCGTCTGGGAATTGCGCTCGTGTTCAATAATTCTAGTATGCGGAGCTCGTCTAGTTTTACATATACAACATATAATAGAGGACAAGGGCACATGATGACATAGACAATGTGTGTGGATCTACAAGTTATGAATTGTCTAATATTATGTTTTCAAAGTTTGAGGGTGTGTGTAAGATTTACATTTCACAAACTGAGAACAAGAGGAACAGTTTTGACAAGGAAAATGAGCTTGAACATTGGAGAGAGTTGCAGAGGCAGTGGTAACGTGTGTATCCACATGTAGTAATAATAATAATAATAATAATAATAATAATGTACCAGTTTGTCTCCTAAATTTTCTCCCCTAGAAAAGAAACAGAGGGGAGGGTTTATAAAAAGATCTGACAGATGATCATCACTTTGTAAAATGTGCCAATGATTGTTAATAATCTTCTTAATCTCCCAACTAGAAGCACTAAACGTAGATTTAAACACACAAGAAAATTTCTTTTTGTTTTCTGGAGCCCCTTTTTGAAGTCCTAAATGCTGTGAATCACGTTCCTTCTTTAGAGCAGAATCCAGCCAAGACTGTGGATAGAGCCACGAACACAAAAGTCCTTATATAAAGTCTGGGCCCTGACCTTAAAATCAGCTGCATCCGAGCAAAGACAGAGTCTTGTGAGCTGTAGTGTAGCGCAGGCCACGTTTTAAAGAAATGATTTGACGTAGTAATGATTTTAGGTGAAGTGTTCCTTTAATTCTGCTCTATAATACAGCCTTGATTTCCATGTGATATAGTGTTGTACCGCTGTAATGAGGCTGTGTGTTTCAGCCATTATGAGTTCTTTTTTTAAATTTCAGTGCACAGAGGAAGCAGAATTCACTGTGGTCACTTACTAAAGTTCGAACAACTCGCGGCGGCCAGTTTTGCCTCAGTCAAAGCCAGGTGTAAATTTGCATTAAGGTCATAAAACACATGCTGTCCAACACTTCATTTAACAGTGGGAGCAGCCACAGCCGTCAGACGGAGGCGTGAGGTTTGAGCATGTGCTGAAATAATGTTTGCTGTCAGAAAAACACTGTTCAACCCTCTGGACCAGATGTACGCGTGAAGACATGGTGCAAAATATGCTGTGATGCAGCTGCAATATGCAAACGGTGTCCGTATAATCATTTTACCCCTGTAGAATATTTTCAGAAGAAACTTTATTTGTTAATGCTGCTGATCTCTTTATCACTAGACTTTAAGTTTCTGTATTGTCTCCAGCTTTTTGATGGCTCCATTATTTCATTGCCTCTTTTAAACCATGTGCCTCATGAGTGACCGGTTAACGGGCAGGGCTGCTCTCAGTTTGCCTGATGACTTGCAGTCTTGTTAAATCGAAAGGGCGCCTATTGTGGTCACATCAAGGCGTATTTGGCATGGGCACTATGCACGTATGTACATCTGGGCCTCTTGGTGATCTGATAATCAAGGGGAGTGAAATGTGTCGAATATCTGACACGTTCTCTAAAGCAGAGGTTCTCAATCTTTTTGGGCCATGACTTACATACCTCAGAATATGACTGGTACCACTTACCAGTTTATCCATAATTATCGATAGTGTGAAATCAATCGGTGGTGGAATGTGTAGTTTTCTCTTTTCTTTCTGTCTGCCTGAACATTCTTTCTGAAACTCCAGTCCTCCAGGTCACTTACACACAAAGCTGCAGCGTGAGCCGCATGGTGTGAGCTCTCTGCCATGCTGGGGAAAAGCAGAGACATTATTTTTCATTTTTAATTTTAGGTTAAAGTTTAGTCCTCACAAAGACCTTCACACCAAGTCTGATACACTTTTGTTATTCAACAATTGTGAGAGAATTGGGTCCATTAAGTACTAATGGTGGCTAAGGTCAGTTTTTTCAAGACGTAGACCGGGGTGTTCGCCCATTTTGGTGATTAAAAAAGTTCAACACTGGCTCTAAAATAAACTCAACAAACTGTAGGAACCACAGTGAGCTCTGAAATGAAAGACAGCATCAGTATTATTGTGTATGTTTGCAAAACTTTGAAAACGTGTTTATGTCTATATGACTTTATGAGTTTGCACTCCCTCTATAACGATAATATATCCATCAAATTACCCGTTATTAATCCCACAGCGGGGAAATTCACCTCCGCATTTAACCCGTCCGTGCAGTGAAATACCACATACACACTAGTGAACACACACACACTAGGGGGCACTGAGCACACTTGCCCGGATTGGTGGGCAGCTCTATCCACGGCGCCGGGGGAGAAGTTGGGGGTTAGGGGCCTTCAGTCACGTCCTGTCAGCTCAGGGGATTGAACCGGTGACCTTCTGAACACAGGGCTGATTCCCGAACCTCCAGACTGGAAACAATAATGAAAAAAATGAAAGTACGCTCCAGAAAAGGAGATCATTACAAATGACAGCTACGCAACGCATGGGAGAACGCGGCATTGATGTCAGAGTGGCGCTTGAAGGGTGACGCATATCCCGCCCACCACCCACTGGCACCCCCTGACAAATAATAGGCCTATTTATGTTTCAGCCTACAGGAATGTAATTAAGCAAACATTTCATAAATGCAATGAACAGTTCCACTGTTTTGTGCCAAATAAATAAATAAATATATATATATATATATATATATATATATATATATATATATATATATATATATATATATATATTCAACTGATATATGATCTGTCCAGCTATAGATTGTAAATAGGTAAATAAGTAAATAACGTACAGAAATGGGACGAACATTAGTGTCTTTTTCCTTCATGTAGATTTTCTTTTTTATGGTCAGATCGTAGCAGGTTTTTAACACATCCCATCTCTTTCCCTCATTTAAGCACATTGTTCACACTTGATTTTGGAATTTGTAATTTATATTCAGTTATTTCTCTTAAACATTTTGTTACTAAGAAACTATATTTTTTGACAAATGAAGTCTACTCAGTATTCAGTTTTTCTGAGGTGATATATTTCAGTGATATAATTCTTCTTGGAGCAGCATTAATCTGAACATGACGGTTTTGTGTGTTTGGATTAGAGTCCTGACATTTTTGGAGGTAAAATTGCTGGTTAAGTGAAAGTTTTCCAGTTTGCAGTTGGGCACAAAGTATTGATGAATATTTGACAGAAGTGGTAACATGATGCACTTTTGAATATGATAAAGCAAAATTTCTATAATACATAAACAAATCAGATAATTCAACTAAAACCAAATGATGAGTGTTATCCCAGGACCACTGCTGTAGCTGTAACCTGGGCTCACCTTTAGCAGATCCAGGTGCTTCAGCATCACCTTAAGAAGATTCTGCCACCAACTCTGCCTCGCTGACCATAAATAAACAAAACAGCATCTGCTTATTTTGGCTTTAGTCAGAGTCTAAATTGTGAGGGCATATTTGTGATAGGTCTCCTTCCTCCAGTCCAGGTGAGGAGCAGTGATGGCTTATTTGCGCTCTTCCTGAAATTCTGCTTGCTGTATGTGTGTATGGCAGGTGTCAAAGAGCCATGGGCCAGCCAGCGCTCATAAGCAGGTGGCTTACCTCTGGGCCAAGAATCTGGGGGGAGAGGCAGCTGTCAAACTGCTTAACAAGTTCGGCCTCCTGGAGACAGCCATCGACTTTGCAGCGGAAAACCGGTAAGAGACTGAACTGAATTCTGCGTCGACTCAAAGGTTCAGCAGCAATAATAACATCCCTAATAATGACCGAAAACTGGTAATGTTTTTGTGTCCAGTGAACAAATCAGATCTTGAGAACTAGTTTTCTTCTATTGCTTATAATCAAAGTAATCCCAAGCAGATTTGTCATAGTGAATGATCTCAACCCAGCAACTCCTCACTATATCAAACTTCTCATCTATGCACTTTTGGAATTAAATTAAATTGTGTGTTAATTTGAGAAAACAATGCATTCAGTTTTTGTTTTTTTTATCAAAATATTTGATCAATATAAAATACATCTAATTATGAAAAACAAAGATTGATCAGAGATATTAAATGTTCTATGAAGCAGTTTTAGCGGTTTCTGAACTGTGCATCGGGCGCAGAATTCATCTTTTAATGGAATATATAGATCATTTAGTATCCTATACTCTATAGATTATGTGTATCACTAAATATTGTGAGGATAATTGTAAACCAGAAGATTCTTGCACTGGGGATACAGCGGTTGGTGAGCACATGTCCCCTGCATATCACACATTAAGATAATTATCAGCAAATGAAAGTTTAACAGATTAAGATGTAAACAAAGTCAGAGTGGTTCAGAGTGAAATGTAGTCATTTTAATTGCTATCAAATTGAACAGTGTCCCTACATGTGTCTGCTGTGTTTTCATGTAACGTATAATGGTAAATTAGTGGTACATGTGGAAGAAAACTGGAACAGTTCTGCCTTACAAACCCTTGCATGTACCTCTTTGCCATAAATAGCTTTAAAATAATGTTTTAAGTCAAAACCTTCTGAAAACTATCTTAAAACACTCTCAGGCATTATGCAACATATCTGTAGCCATTATTAGGTTCTGTGAACTCTATCACCACCACTGTGAACGATTCTGACTGTGAGTTTCTCTTAAGTAGAACATTTCAGATTTCACAGCTCAAACCACTCTGAATGGCTTTGTTTATATTTTTGTTTACATTACTTAATGGTTTAGTTATGCATTTATGCAATGTTACATTACTGAAGTATTTAGTTATGGAGAAATTTAGAAATATTATAGGAATTCCCCTGTATGTTCTGAATGTTGGGCTGGTTTGTACGTGTTATGATAATAGTGGGTGCACAACTAAAAGGAGATTTCAATTTAAACAAAAACACATTCAGTAGCATGTCTGCCCTTTTTTACAAATTACTTTTGAAACGATCATACTTTTTTATGGCTGATTCTGAAATTAGTTGCCTGTTTATGTAACATGAATCAAATAAAATGCTACACTGAAAGTAAGAGGCAGCTGGTGTTTTAGCACAGTGATCATGTGTAATTCTAGTACCAGTCAAATACAGCATGAGTGCACTTTGTCATAAAATTGGCCTATTGCTGATCGCAATCTGTCTTATATGCTATGTAAACATGCAAATAGATACTATTTCCACTCTCTTGTACTTTAACTTATGTATATTTTTATTCCTATTTCTTATTTTTTGCATAGTTTATGTAAGTTTATGTGCAATTATATGTTTTGCTGCTGAAACACTGCAATTTCCCTTCGAGATCAATAAAGTTCTGTCTATCTATCCATCCATCTATCTATCTCATGTTTGGAGCCAAAATCCACTGATTCCAATCGTGCATCCCTAAAAGATAGATAGATAGATAGATAGATAGATAGATAGATAGATAGATAGATAGATGGATAGATAGATGGATAGATAGATAGATAGATAGATAGATAGATAGATAGATAGATAGATAGATAGATGGATAGATAGATAGATAGATAGATAGATAGATAGATAGATAGATAGATAGATAGATAGATAGATAGATGGATAGATAGATAGATAGATAGTCTTCTCCTGACCTGACCCCAACCTCCCCCTCTGCTATGTTTTTTTTTTTCTCCAAATATTTGCCTTTGATATATGATCTGCCCTTGAATTATAACACATAAATGGTTACTATAACACTATTATTATTTACATTATTATAATTATTGTATTCCCCTTTAGTTCATTTGACTTTGCCTTTGAACTGGCTCGACTGTCCATGAAAGAGAAGATTCCTCAGATCCACCTGAAGAACGCCATGTTCCTGGAAGATGAGGTATTGGTGCTTTACCGTTTTGATAGCTGGTCTCCTGGTTGCAGCTTGACATCAGTATCTCCGTCTTAATTTTCCTGTAACTCAGAGTTCCTGCCCTCTGGTATAATGCAGTGTGGCTCCAACACATTGCCCTAAATTTAGACCTTCACGCTACCTCTGTGTAATGTGTCATGAGAGTATTATTGATGTATCTGTGGTCAGAGAGCAATGATAAGGTTTCGTTTTCAAGGGCAAGTTCAACGAAGCAGAGGTGGAGTTCATCAAAGCAGGCAAGCCGAAGGAGGCCGTGATGATGTAAGTGACCTCTCCACACGCGCAAATCCCACATCTTATTTTTTACTTTTTATATCTTTGATACTGTTAATATCGCTCTACTCTTTCCTCCTTTTCCATTGAAAAACTTTAAAGAAATACTCCAGTTTGATTTGCTGTGTGCCACATCTGCAGCTTACGATCAGTTACCTCTCACAATAATTTCCTCAGAAAAGATCAGAAATAAACCCGTTAACTCAAAGTATTATGGATTGGATTATTATTTAACCTTAATAACTAAAAGGAAATGTAAATAAAGTTTCTCTTAAGGGTTTGATGAAAACATTTATTGTGGAAATAAGCATTAGCGTTCGTAGCGTTTCAAAAACATCAGAATTTTCTGTATTTTATGTAAAGACAGTGAAATGAAGTAGAGCACAACCTAAACAATCCTAAAAGTACTGAAGCAAGATGAAGCATATCGATTTATGCGTGCAGCCTATATATACAGATTCCTGCTGCACATGAAAACGCAAATGTTTGTTTCTAGCACCTACAGTTTATTTTAACCAAATGTATTAATTTATTTCAAGCAAAAGTATTAGTATTAGTATTGTATTGAGGACAGTTTTATGACTTACCCCACATGTAAGGCTAAAAGTCTGGTGAATAAATGCAGAGTGCGGTTAATTCAGTACAGTTCTATATTGTTTAAACAAGCTTTTCAAACACAATACATAAAAATGATTGCTTTAAAAAGAAATATGATTAGTAAAAAGAGGCTTTGTTAAATGTGACAAATGTATTTTTGAACATAAAGTAGAAGAACAAATATCAACATAATAAAATTGAAATAAATGACATCTATAGTACATTGTAGGTGATTCTTCCAAAATACTTCCAAAAAATGACTGTTTTGAGTTTATATTGGAGAGATTTGGCATTCTCTCCCATTTCCTTCCTCAGACGTAACACTGCGTTGCAACTAACCCCGCTGGGTGGAGGCTGTACTTTAGCCTGCCTAGCTCTCCTCTTCAGGTATTTACCTGTGTCAGAACAGTGCAATATCACAGCCACCAGGAGGGTGATTAAAATAATAGGAGTGAATTTTGTGAATTAAACATAGAACTCAGGAATTATCCTATTTAACAACTTAAAGTATGTTCAATTTTAACCCCATGTTGAATAACATTTACGACATTCAGCGGACGCTCTTATCCAGAGTGACTTACAGTGTGATCATTTTACACAGGCAGGTGAAGGCAGTGTTAGGAGTCTCGCCCAAGGACTCTTACTGGTATAGTCTAGGGTGTTTGCCCTGATGGGGGATTGAACCCCAGTCTACAGTACAGAAGGCAGAGGTGTTACCCACTACACTATACCAAACCTGATCGATCGATCGATCTCTCTCTCTCTCTCTCTCTCTCTCTCTCTCTCTCTCTCTCTCTCTCTCTCTCTCTCTCTCTCTCTCTCTCTCTCTCTCTCTCTCTCTCTCTCTCTCTCTCTCTCTCTCTCTCTCTCTCTCTCTCTCTCTCTCTCTCTCTCTCTCTCGGGTGCTTATGTCTGTTAAGCTGTCATCAGAGACATCACCAAGCAGAATTTTATTAATTCATGTCTGTCTTTAAAAATTAAGCCATTGTTCTTACACTGGTCTTCAGGGCCCCCAGAGGGTCCACATTTCTGCTCCAAACTGACTCACAACACCTAGAAATGGGGGCCCTGAGGACTGATTTGAGAACCGCTGACCTTAGTTTGATATGAATAATCAGCGTCAGGAGATGAAACTGGTATAAATGTAAATATTAGAACACTAATTGAACCTATGAATCACAGTAAAGGTGGCTTTGTGTGTGCAGGTACATCCATATCCAAGACTGGAGCGGAGCCCAGAGAGTGGCCGAGGCCCATGATCCGGACAGCGTGGCAGATGTGCTAGTGGGCCAAGCCAAATGCTGTTTTGAGCAGAAAGACTTCCAAAAAGCAGAGGCCTTTCTCCTTCGGGCCCAGAGGCCTGAACTGGCCATCAAGTACTACAAAGTAAGAGCCCTTACTGTGTTTCTCTTATGAATGAGGTGAAGGCGAATGACCACCTAGCAATTATTTTGATGTAAATAAAGATAAATTGGTTATAAATATTAAAATGATTGTAATGCATGTTTTAAATTCTCCTACTGTTCTCAATGATAGTAAGAAACAAAGAGATGCAAACCACAAAATGACCCTATTAGATATAAACCTCTGTTACTTTTATAATTAAAAGCAGCAGCCTGGTTAGTTAATCTCTGTACAAATATAGGGATTATATACACCTATTACTATGCTTATAAATCACCTATTACTATATATCCGCTACACATTTTTGTGTTTTCCCTGCTTTAACATACGTTACTCAGCATTAAGGATGTTCCTGTTTAGTTGACTGAATTCTGGTAGAGTACAGGTAACAGAGCATGCTGTCCGCAAAGATTGGGACCCACTAATCTAAACATTTAATCATCTGCTGTTCTGATACGGCACAGTCAACATGCCTCTGCGACAAAGAAGGTGAAATATTAGGAATGTTGGAAATGTTGTTTCTATCAATATTCTATCTGTGGTTTATTAGTAAGAAGGTTGTTTAAATATGTGAGTGCACTATTAAGAGTTCACTATCTCCACTATTACTATTACAGTACTAGTGTTAAACACTGAAAGAGCTTCTGGAACCACCACCATTTACTATTTATGAAGTTGAAATCCAACTTCAGCATTCTCCAAAAGAAAGTCCTCATAGAAAATGAGGCCACACAATTCAGAAAATGTAGCAACTGGCTTTGTAAAAGAGAAAGACCTCATTAAAGAACATGTAAAACACAGAAGTGGTGTTTAAAGGGGAATTCCACCGATTTTTCAAAATATCTGTATAATTAAATGGGTAAACAAACAAGTAATATATTCAGAGTGGTTGGATGTAAAATGCTTTGCTCTAGAAAAACTTACCGAGTCAGAATTATTCACAGTGCTGGTGATAGGAACCAGACGTTCGAAGTGTTTAATGCCTCTAAATGGTTGCGAATACACGGCCTGTTGACTGAGACTTTGTTTCACAGTAGTTTTCTGATAAGATTCTGTCCAAAAACACATTTTTAAAAATATATTTTTGGCTGAGAGGTACACGCAGGGCGTTGTAAGGCAAAATAGTCCCTAACGAAAACTTATTTTTTCAAATTCAACATTATCCGCATTACACATAAAAACTCATAGGTTCACTGGCGGTTTTGGACAGTAAATAAAATGGCCATATTTGTGTTGTAGTCATGGTGACCCCTGGTTCCTATCACCACCACTGTAAAGAAACCAGAGTTAGTACGTTTGGTTAATTGGTTGATTTAATGCAGAAATTTAGAAAATTTGGTGGAATTGCCCTTTAACCATGAAGACTTTTTTGTTTTGTTATACTGTTTAAATGTGATAACCGTTTTATTAACTAAAGTGTTTGTTATTTAATGAATTGAATTTACTTTCAACTTACATTCTGCACTGACAGGTTTGATTCTGCAGTTGTGGCTTTTTCTGTTTGTTTTAATGTCAAGGAAATTATAAACACAGGGAAAAAAATATAAAGATAAATATATATAAAAAATAGAAATATCTTCTTACCTTAAAACAAGTCTGTATTTGCAAGAACTAATTTTAACATAATTAAATGATCTCATTTTCTGCCTGGGAACACAAACATAGTAAGGATCGAAGGTTTAGAATTCGTATTTTAGACTGAAGTTCTTCACTTTCAATGGAATATAAGTGAAAAATAATCCAATATCAAATAACGCCATGCTTTTGTCATCACTGGCAATAACTATGACTTTTAAGTGTTGGTCAGGCTTGGAGGTACAGGAAGGAAAAGGTAAGATGTTTTATTTTTCTTTACTTTGTGTTTTCTTGCTTCAGGATGCCGAGATGTGGAGTGACGCTATGCGCATCTGTAAGGAGTATCTTCCCAATAAGCTGGGCCTCCTCCAAGAAGAGTACGAGAAAGAAGCAGCAAAAAAGGGGAAACGGTATAAAAATATCACCTCACTTTCATCTCTGGGTTGTCCGTATTTCTTCTTCTCCTTCATTTCTCTGAGCTCCCTCTTGGAGGCACAGTTGGGTCCTGCGTGCTCTTTAGGTGCTCTTGTTTCGAAACTGGGGCTCTTAGATTGCAAGTGAGCGCTAATGGCAGCGCAGTCTCACTCAGAAGGCCTCCTTCACGCTGGCTGGCTCTGCTCCTTTATTAAAACATGGCAGCTTTTTTATCCCGAATTAAATCCATAATGAGCTGCTCATTAACGAGCAGACACGCCGCAAATCTGTCTCCGCTGATAATTTCCCTATTTTTAATGACTTGTGGGAAAACATCAAAGACTGCTTCTTTCTCCTCCTTAGGAAGAAAAAAAGGAAAAGAAAACAACATTTTTGCAGAGTCAGGTCAGGTCCTGATCAGCTGCAGTGGAGGCCTCTCCTACCATCGAGGCAGATCTGCCGTAACTCATTGTCTTTCACTGTTAACTGCCGGCAACTTTGTTAAACTTCTCAGTCTCAAGGTTAGATTCTCTCTTTGCAGGCCAGCAAAGCAAGAGAGCTTTTGTGGACTTGAGGTTTAAGAAGGGAAGGATGTGCCCTGAATACACTATTCACTCAGAGGAAATGTTCAGGGCCACATTATGCACAGAAGTACTGAAGTTACAGTTGCACTGTTAAAAGAACTCGTGACTGTTTGACTACAGCAAGGAGAGACCTCTGGGGTTATTTCAGTGGAAAGGGAGCTGCTGTTCCCGTGGAGCGATTCGGTGTATTTTACTATGAATTTGTTCTGTCAGCCTAAAAAATTTCTTCGACCAGGCCCCAAAATCCGCACACCATATACCACAAACCTTTACAATATTATTTCCTCAAGTTAAAATTTCAGGTATTAGTGTTCGTGACAGCCACCTCCCGCATAGAAAGTACCAGATTCTGATTCTATAAGTGATAATTTTGTATGTATTTAGCTTATTACAGTATCAGTGAATGCCTTGGGTTTAAATAGATCGTAACTTAATCCTCGTAAATATCTGAGGTCTGAGTTGTTTTTTTACCCTGGGAGATCAGTGTGAACTAATTTGGTTGAATGGTCCATTTAGGAGGATTATGGGGAAAGAAGCTGTGTGGGTGATGGTTCGGCTGAGTCTTTAGGGCTCTCACTCTCTGTCTCCGCTGAGATGGAAACTGATGGAAGAGAGAGTGATCTGGGTGTAAGAGGTCAGCCATGATTTTCCCACCCTCTTCCTCATCCTAGCATTGCACAGTTCACTATAGCTCACGCTTGGTAAGCGAAGATGCCGAACTGGGCAGAGATGGAGGATGTAGGAGGCAGCGCAGAACTGGACCAGCAGTGCTTCAGGCAGCCCAGATTTCCTCAGCTGTTGCAGGAAAAACAGGTGCTTCTGGGCCCTTTTCATAACTGCAGTGCTGGGTCTGTCTGATTTGAGACCCTGTAGAGTAATCATGTCCAGGAATCTGTAGGACTCAGCTCTTCTGAGTGTGGAGCCATAAATTGTAAAGTCTGCCTGTTTTGGGATTCTCTCAGTTGAACTATTCACTTTTTTATTGATTGAATATGTTCGTGCGATGAAAATGTGTATAATTCACACCACGTTACACGTTAAACCAGCTGTGAACTTTTGTCTTTGTAGGTGATCGAGTAAGTCAACACTTATGGAAGTGCTTCGATTCTATTCAAACATTAGCCGCAGCTGTCCTGTCCATTTTATCTCAGCACGGCCGTCTTTGTGGACAGGTGTCAGTTGTTTTCTCAGCAGGAGGTTCTCATTTCTCGTCTTTCACCCCTCATTGCTCACTAGCAGCTCAACACAGAGTCATAACATTTCACAGACCGAGAGCCAACAGTGTCGTAGTTAATCTGACAGGGAAAAGTATTTAGTTTGTTAATACTGAATCAACAGATTTGAGTCGGTTGAAATGGCCACTAGGGGGCCTGCAGAAAGAGGTTAAAAAGCAGCAGGACAGACGGACAGACAGACAGATAGATAGGTAGATAGACAGATAGATAGATAGAGAGATATTAGATATTGTCATTGCTCAGTACAAGTACAAGGCAACGAAATGCAGTTAGCATCTGCCAGAAGTGCAAATATTAGCAATGGTGCAAAACAGACAGTGCAAATTTGCAATAACAGGCATAAATATTACATATCTATATAAATATATATTCATGAACAACAATGTGTGTGTGTGTGTGTGTATATATATATATATATATATATATATATGTGTTACACACTGTTAGAGTAAGCAGTTATGTGCTGTATTCAATATACAGTGAACAGCTGTTGTATGGAAATGTAAGGGAAATATTGTGTGCAACATACAAGTATGAGTATTGTTGTTTACGTTATTGATTGGATATGCCTGCTTATGCCTGCTTGTCAGTGGAGATGCTCAGTTTAAAGGTGTGTGTGTGTGCAGGGGAGTGGAGGGCATGGTGGAGCAGGCTCGCGAGTGGGAGCAGTCGGGTGAATATGCCAGGGCAGTGGACTGTTACCTGAAGGTGAAGGACTCGTCCAACGCTGCCCTGTTGGAGAAGTGCTGGATGAAGGTAATGTTCCTGGTCTCTCAGCTCACTTTGTGTAGATCCCATTCATCATCACTGCACTGACTCTTCTTCATTTCCAGGCTAATCTTTTAGCAGAGGAAAGTAACAGATGGAGCTTGGCGAGAAATAGCTGGTCAGTTCTGGTGTAACGATTCATTTGTTTTCTTTTTGCATTGTTTACAGTTCATAAAATGCAAAAGTAATGCTGAATCGTTTGCGTCGGCCACCAAGTTTAGAATAAAGCAGATTTTGATTTGTTAACAAAACAAACTTGTTTAAACAAAGACCCTGTAAGACGCAGCCCTGCGGTGTGTGAGTGGCTCAGGCAGCATTCACAAGCTAAAAATGGACGTCAGTGACGCAGGAAACTCAGCATGAGAAATTCATAAACTACTGATCATAAATACACCAAACAGCAGCTGCCTGTTCTGTTCTGTGTGAATTTATTTATCAGTCATTGACAAGCTGATGTTCTGTATCTGAATGCTCTGTGGTTGTGTAGTTAGCTAATAATCACACTGTGCTTATGCACATAAAAGGTAGTGCGGATCGCTGCTGCTTAAACGTACCAGACAGAGATTTTTATTTTGCTCAGTTACTCTGTTATCACCTTTGTATTTTTATTCAGTTTATAGCCCAGATTTGTGGAAAAATGGGTCGACTTTCAGTAGAAAAAAAGTTCAGCTTCTTTTATTATAAAGTTTTAAAATTACATGACCCATCTATTTGACTGGAAAGAAGACAGTTAAAGCTCTCATATGAATTTTGAATGTAGCTTATGAAATATGAAAGTTATGAAGTAAAGAATATGACGAAGTGTGTTTTGGAACCGCCGGTGGTTCCACAGAGCTTAACATGCTTAAGGTTAACATGCTACATTGAAGTTTTCCATGATAAGGGCTATTTAACTGATTCATTTTTGCGTGAGAAATATTGGGGTACGTTTTTTAGTTCAGTTATATTGTATCTATACCTTAAATTCATAATAATTCTTAAAAGTGCTTGAATTGCAGAAGTGAATCGCGATAGTGAATCGCGATAGTGAATCGCTCTTCCATCGATTTACTCCCAGCTCAAAGATTTAGCTGTGACCACACCCTCAACAATTTAAGCAAATGCAGTGTAAGCTGGGGATGTTCCAGTGATCTTGGTCAGTGCAGTGTTTTAATGAATTTCATTCAGGTCACACAGGTGAAGGCCTTGTTGATATAATGAGGTGTTAATAAAGTACTGAAGGTGTTTTTCTGTGTTTTGTCTTTCAGGCAGCAGAACTGTCTATCAAGTTTTTGTCACGAGAAAAAGCCATCGATGTGGTTCAGGCTGTTGGCCCACGCTTGGTGCAGCTTAGAAAATACAGTGCGGTAGGCATACCATTCATGCAGCATCCAGACAGTAGCCAGGTGTCTGGACTGTATTATGATTGTCCAGAGCAAAATAGATGTGCAGCTTTTTAAAATTGTTCATTGATTTTTTTCCGCTTCTATGTTTGATGTATTTATTCAACTGGAGCATTGAGAGGAAAAAAGATTGAAGCCATCTGAGGTTTAGCTTTTTATTCTTTGAAAGATGATGTGTTGGCCAAACCTCGAAGGATACAGTGTGTGTGTGTGTGTGTGTGTGTGTGTGTGTGTGTGTGTGTGTGTGTGCGAGTGCGAGCTTGTCCATGTGAGCATGTGTGCAGCCAGAAAAAAAAGGAATGCTGCCAAAACAAAGCCCCTCGGAAGCTTTTGCCTATTTTCCGCCGTCCTTCAAGCCCCAGGTCCATTGAAACCCAGAATGGGCTTCTTTTCTTCCCCCCAGGCTGCCGAGCTCTACCTCAACCTGGACCTCATTAAGGAAGCTGTAGACGCATTCATCGAGGGGGAAGAATGGAACAAAGCCAAGAGAGTGGCCAAAGAGCTAGATCCAAGGTGAGCCCTGGGCGCGTTGGTCGCCCCTGACAACACCACAGCCGACAACTTGGCGTGGAGACAGAGGAATCGTAGGCTTTGAAATGCATGACGGAGGTGAAACGTGGGCCTTGACGATGCTCAAGGCCAGAGGAGGATGTGGCAGAAGCGCAGGTGCTGCCCGGAAATGCTGGAAAGTGTGACCAGGTTTTAGCCAGAATTTACCTCAGAGTGGGTGAAGGCATCGATGCTCTGTCGCTGCAGGATTGAAATGCTAATATTAGCGTCCTTAACTGACGGGCAGAGATGTTCACAAGTCGATGCATGCAAATCTCTGAGGTGCGAGTCTGAGCCGAATCTGAAGTACAGAATTTCAGTGATTAGCAGCAGATATTGCATTGTACAAAACTAACACCGAAGCTTTAGTTGTAAATGAACCTGATATGTAACTAAAACTGCAGCTGGACTAGCAGACAACTTCAGCTAGATTAGCCATTGTGCGAGCGAGCATACTTGCTATCCAAAATACATGCTAGTCAGCAGTTCTAGTGGTTGTGCAGGTAGAGTTTCATCGTTCTGTTCTCAAGACTGAAGGCTCTTCTTTTAATGATAGGCCTGTTATTTGAAGCAGTGATGAACCTGACGCTGCTGTGAGCTGCACTGATGCAGTAATGTCTGAATACGACTGTAGCAAAACTGACAGCCACATATTACTGCTGACGGAACAAAACCTCGCATCTCCAAAATGGTCACTTTACAGGAGAAGGAAAAACTGTGTACACAGTGTAAAGAGCAACAGGCATTTTCAAATTAAGTCAAAAACTGAAAAGAAAAATAAAAAATGGAGATACGAGGTTTTCTTCTGTAAGATTGAAAACGGAAGGTTTTATTAATCTGCTGAGTTAATGTTGATTGTTTTTCTCAGGCTCATATTTCCCAAGCTTAAAGTATTAAGTCGAGTTTCAAGTCAGTTAAGGGTGAGTCAGAGTCGAGTCATGAGCAAGTCAACATGCTGACCCGAGTCGCCATCTCTGCTGGGGTGAGTGAGTGTGATTTAAAGTAGGGTATGACCAGTATATTGACAGGATTACGATATCGGTAATTTAAAAAAGTGATGAAATTCAGTTTTTCATGAGATGAGCCCTTTAACAGAAACCAAAACTGCAGAATACTGGGAGGCTCTGCCAGCGCTGCAGTATTTATATTAAGATTTTGCGAGTTTCTGTGTTTTGTATGAGTTGAGGAAATGTGACTCTGGGGACCTGATAATCGTATTTGACAATTCACAGCTGACAACTGACAGTTATTAACTGTAACAATAATTATAACAGTCAGTAAAGCACTGTTTAACTAGAATCATTGGAGTATAAAATTAAAATAGAAATAAATATTATCAGAATTTACTCCGTACACATAATTCATTACTAAACTGTTATATTGGTCCTAAAGTCCTAAATTAAAGGCCTAATTAAGAAAGAAAGCAATAAAACCTGCCTTACAGCTAGTGCTGAGTTTACAGACGTGGCGTTCGTGTATTGTAGGTTTTGGTGGCTTCATTTTTGCTGTTATTGATGTAAACAGGTTCCATCCTGAGATGAGCTTTGTAATGTGGAGGAGAAATGGATTTAACAAAAATAGACAAAATCTGACCGTTTTCTACTTAAAACACACATTTAGTGCAGTGACTATGATAAGAAAATGACGGGAGGTCTTAGGATGTGGTATGTTAGGATACTGAATGCAGGCAGTTAGTGTAGCTCCACTGTCCTCTCACTGCACCTTAATCAGCTCTATAAATCTGCCAGCTCCAATGGACCAAAGCCCAGCGTTTGACTGTACTGTATTGCCTGACCCACTTCAATCTCTTCACTCAGCTTTTATGAGCTGCTTATCCTCCCTAACAACTCCGCTTGACTCCCTGGATGCTCGCCGTTCTGTTTTTGATGTTTTTCTTCATGTTGAGCCTCTGCTTATCTGTCCCACTAGGTTGGAAGGATATGTCGACCAGCGCTACAAAGAACACCTGAAAAACCAAGGCAAGGTGGACTCAGTAAGTCTGTTTTTTGTAGTGAAAGAAACCAAATCACACATTCTGAGGAAAAGAACAGATGCAGGATCTGTACTTTGTCTGTACGTGTATTAATTATGATGTAAAAGGAAAAGGCATTCTAGATGATATATTCAGTGTTGAAGAGATGAGCACCTTTTAAAGGAATGTTTCACAGAAAAGTCAAATGTTTACCGTTTTCTCATTTAACCAAGACGTGTTTGGTGTCTGAAGTTAGCTTCTTTATTGTTGTGCTGGATCTATGAAGCTAATTAGGAATAACACTGAAGTATCCGTATCAGGCCAATATCAGCAGCAAATGCTGGATCGGATATCGGAGGTAAAAGAGAATGAATCTGATCCAATCCTGTACTGGGTCACACTGTGGGATGTGATGTTAGCTGTGTGTTTCGTCCTGTGGAGCAGTGGAGTGTTCGAGTAGTTTGATCATGTTAGCCTACTTTTATATGCTCACCAAGTGAAGTACTTCAAATAACAATGGCTCATATTACAGCTTAGACGTTTCTGAAGAAAAACATTGGATCAGTATAGGGATCAGCTGGTACTCAAGTTGTCCGTATCGGTATCAGAAAAGAAAAGCTGGTGTTGGGCGTCCAGGTCTGTGTCTGTAACAAAGTCCTCTTATTCAGCTAACTGTGTGGAAATAGCTGCAGTAAATGGTTGAGCCAGATTGAGGGGACATTGTAAGTCTTTCCTTATACTGAAGTGGACGTGAAAAAAAACAGAGATAGCGTAAGAGTTGAGTCTTAATTATTGTCAAATAAAAGAACATAATAACTTAATAAAGCAGAGTTCAGTAAAATTTGGGGCTGTAGGATGATGTCATCTCTAAGGTTGCCATGAAACTGTAATTAATCTAGTAAGAAAGAACAGAAACTGCAAATGTCACAAGAAGTTTACCATCTGAGAGTTTCTGGCTGCTCTGCTCAGCTCAGCTCTTTGCCTTTATTCTGAAGACATTAAAACACAATTATACACCGCAAATAGATAACGACAGATATAATGATATAGAAAAAAGAATGACAACAACAGCTGAAAAAAGGAAGATGATAAAAACATGTATGTAAAGATGTGGATTACATATTACGAGTGATATTAGTAAGTATGATATGGTATATCAAATAAAACGAGCTGCTGATCTGTCTGATTTGCGTGGAGTGAAAGTTGGATTAGTATCAAATGTGTTGCATGCAACCTTGATTGTTTTCTGATTGCTCTGTAATGGTCAAGTTGCAAAGAAATAATATTGCAGGCAACTCACAACATACATGGACATGAACAGTTCATCACGTAAATCTATATTAAGGCTGTAATAACATAATTATAATAGAATAAAAAGATTTTGGTGACATAAACTCCAGTTACTCTTTATCTATGCTCGCCTTGTACCTCCAGAAACAAACATATCCTGGCTGATAGACTACGTTTGGGGTAAAAGGGAAACTGTTAAAATGAGAATTTTCAAACATCCCTCATTCAAATAATGGGAAAATATGCCCTCATTCAAATTATGGCATCTCTGCTTTATTATTACAGCGTCAGCATTATAACACAGGCAGTTATTTACTCTCAGGCAGCAGATGGGTTTTGTGTTATCTCTGTTATCATTTTATATCGAGTATGTAGAGATTCTGCTAAGCGTATAATCAAGTACTCTCATCAATCATGACTCTGCCTTTTACGCCAGACCCTTCATTTAGGCTGTAAATGTCAAAACTTGGTCAAGACGTAAAACAAAGCCACCTAAGGGTTTAAACAATAACGTTTTGGTTTCCAGTAGGGGGAACAAGTGAGTATGTGTGACAGCCTTATCACTGAGTTATTAGAAATAAACAACAGCAGCAGCAGCAACATTGCTACCAGCTTCTCTACTGAAGGAGTCATGTGAACCTCCTACAAGGTAAACTGTGCTAATATGTCTGTCACAAGCTTCAAGTAAAGCATGGTGTCATATTTCAGCAGTAGAACACAGAGGGAGTGTGTTATCATGAAATAACATCACTGTGATTTGGTGGCCGTAGATCATCACAGCCGTGATGTTATTGGCGATAACACACTCCTCGAGTGTTCTACTGCTTTAATACAACAGTTAAATAAATACAGTAATAAATTAATAAACTGGGCCGTGAACGCGGCGTTTAATATGTTTTAATGTTCGCAGTTCCTTCACCAAATTATAGTTCCTTAACGAGCAGCTTGTTGCTACGTCAGAGTAACGAGCTCCGCCCACTCGCTGCACAGGCAGTTCATTCTCCAGCTCCACACAGACCAACTGACAGTTTGGGAATTTAGTGTCGTCTCATCTTCAGAGTCTGACCAAATCGGCTGTCGGTCAAATGTGATCTTAAAAGTGTCCATTTTCTGTTTGTGGCAAAGTAAGAAGTAAAAACGTTCAAATGTCTTGAGCGTCTCCTACAGCTGTCAAAGTGGTTGCTTAGCAACGGCATCTGAGTGGAGTGATACAGTGTTTGTTAAAAACCTGTGATGTTATGGTGAAATAACAGCACAGTTAGAACGCTGCTCAACCAATCAGCTCGCCTGGCCAGAACTAACTGTTGTATAATGTGTAATAATAAGGTGTAATAATGCTGATGCTGTAATAATAAAGCACAGAGGCCATAATTTGAATGAGGGTCGCAAAAACGTCAGCTTACAAAAACGCTGAACTGAAAAATCTACAGGGGATCCCTATGGGATCGTAGTAGTCTGTTAGCGCTAATGTGAGCTGTGCTAACCAACTACTATAATCCCACAGGGATCCCATGTTAGTGTTAAGCAGTTCACATTAAAATTAGCATTTTGTGGCCTTTCCTGATTAAACACAGACATTAGAAGCTTCTAAAAGACATTCGAGCTTGTGACAGACATATTAGCATATAGTTTAGCTTGTAGCAGGTTCACGTGGCTCTTTCAGTAGAGAGGCTGGTAGCGCTGCTGCTGCTGCTGCTGCTGCTGCTGTTTTTTATTTCTAGCAGCCCAGTGATGAGGCTGTCACACGCACTCACAGTCAGTGACGTATCTAGAACTTCCACGAGTGTTAGAGTGATGTTTTTCTCACAGGATTGTTCCCCCATTGGAAACCAAAACGTGATTGATGCCTCTGCCGTTTTGTAATTATGCTGATGGTTAAGGTCACACATCAGCTCCACCATCAGCATAATCTTTACAACTCTTTGAGTCAGAACCAGGGGGGAGCTCGCTTAGCTATATATACCTAGATCCTACAATGAAATACAGTTCCTGATTGGCTGATTTTCCCCCGGGAGTTAGAAGAGTTTAACCCTTTGTTTACATCCGACACTTTACATGAAACAAGTGTAGCAGTGTAATACATGCAGAGTTTGAATACACGCAAGTTTCTATAATTAAATAATATTATAGAAAAGAATAAAAACATTCACTGTTCAGTTCCCAGAAATCATTAGGCTTCTCTAGTTCTCTTCTGCTTATTAACAAACAGAATTCATATTCATAAATACATCCATAATACTGTATGCTAGTCAAATTGAATGTATGTTAAAAACAAAATGAAACATCTAATTTAAAGAAATCTTCCAAAAATATCTCACAAACCTTGCAGTGCAAACCTCTGGAGTCCCATCCGTGAACGGCGCAGGCTGTGATTTACCCCAAGCTGCTTTATATGCTGGGTTTTCCCGTTTGGCTTTTATATCCCAGAAACCCTTGCAGGATAACTTCAGGTAGAGCTTGTTGCTCTATTGAAAATGTTTCCACATAGAAATTCGGTGCGAATGGTGCGTTCATCCCAAGCCCTGGCCTGGTTAACGAAAAGGCTCTTCTCTATATTGACATTAGCTGTGGGCTTCTTTCTCTAGAGGAGGTGTTATTACAGTTTATTACAGTTACTTTGCTCTGCCTACAGAACATTCATGACCTGAAGCCAGAAAGAGTTTTAACTGAGTTGTTTCTGTTGATAGCTGGTTGGCGTGGACGTCATGGCTGCTTTAGACATGTATGTGGAGAGGGGTCAGTGGGAGAAGTGCATCGATACTGCATCCAAACAGGTACTTTTAGACTTCTGACCACTGTGTTCAACCTATGATGTGTTCTAGACTATGACTCAAAATGTACTTTGAGTGATGATTCTCCATTTTTACCTCAGAGTATTTCATGTCAATTTGGCAGGTCTCGTCAAGGGTTTCCAAAAAAATAAAATGAATTTGTTTAATTCATGCAGTTGCAAAGGAAAGACAGGATACTTGTTTAATCTGGAAATTCAGTGTTCTTGTAATCACTTGTTATATTGATAATTGCTGTTAATTTTTAACAATTACTAACATAGATTCAAATATTATAAGCTGAACAGCAGAAGGTATTTTAATCAGTACCCCATTTTTTTTCTTTTCTGGGACAAGTTATCGAATGATAAATACTGTTATAATCTATTTATAGTCACTTCTTCATAAGTTATCTGCGATCAGTTATCTGCAATGTCATGTTGTCGTTTCTCTTCCCTTTCACTGAACAGAATTTTAAGGTCCTGCATAAATACATCGCTCTGTACGCCACTCACCTGATCAAAGAGGGCGAAGCAGAGAAAGTGCTCAGCTTGTATGCCCAGCATGGAGCGCCAGCAAACCCACAGGTACACACGGGCCAGGATATTAGCGATTAGCTGGTACCCACAGTGCTAACCAGATAACATTGAGGTGTTTGGTGTAGTTTTGTGTAGAGGTGAACAGCAAAAATACAATATTGTGATACTTCTCAATACATGATATGTCATAATATTTATTTATTCAGACATCTGATCATTTGGAACAGAGAAAAAAGAACCAGTAGTGCTAAATTTTTAAAAATACCAGCAAAAACTGTAAACACAATTATTTTTATTTAATATTTGACATAATGTGTTGCTCTCAATCCAGTTAAATGGGACTAATTTGCTGTCCTTATAATGAAACATGCAGTTGGTCAGTGTCCTGCAGGTACTGATGATATACACAATATGTTCAGGAAAGCATACTGTATAACGTCGTGACATAGTTTATCCTGATACCATTATTTACTGTCCTTTTGCCCAGCCCTAGTAAACTCACTAATGCTGATATACACAGACCAGCCACTTAATTAAGTACACCACCTTATATCTATGCTGTGCCAAATTTGAATAAAAACAGAATACAATGTACAAATTTTATGTACAAATCATTTAAACCCTATATTTTATAGGGAAAAAAAAATGGGTATAAAAGAGCATCTCAGAGAGGCGGAGTCTTTCAGACGTAAAGATGAGGAGGGGTTCACCACTCTGTGAAAGACTGCACCATCAAATAGTGCAACAGTTCAAGAATAACTTATATTTCATCATTTACGGTACATAATATCATTAAAAGATTCAGAGAATCTGGAGAAATCTCTGTATGCAAAAGACAAAGGCCGAAACGCAAAATTTCAGATGGCCGTGATCTTTGGGCCCTCAGACAGCACTGCATTAAAAACAGACACGATTCTGTAGTGGAAATCACTGCATGGGCTCAGAAACACTTCAGAAAACCACTGTCTGTGAAAACGGTTCGCCACTGCATCCACACATGCCAGTAAAAACTATACCATGCAAAGAAATACCCATATATAAGCAGGACCCAGAGACGCTGCCACCTTCTCTGGGCCCGAGCTTATTTACGATGGACTGAGGTGAAGTGGAAAAGTGTCCAAATAACTAAAATTTGAAATGCTTTTTGGAATCTATGGACGCCACGTCCTTCAGGCACAAGAGCAAAGGGACCATCTGGCTTGTTATCAGTGCACAGTTCAAAAGCCAGTATTTATGATGGTGCAGGGGGGCATTAGTGCACATGGCACGGGTGAGTTCACACATCTGTGAAGGCACCATTAATGCTGAACGATATATACATGTTCTGGAGCAACATATGCTGCCATCCAGATGACGTCTTTTTCAGGGAAGGCCTTGATTATTTCAGCAAGACGATGTAAAACAACATTTGCACAGCGTCCCTCTTTTTTGGAAACGGGATTGTACACGCATTAGATATTAGTTTTTAAACACTGTGTCCCCTCACTGTCCACTCTATTAGACACTCCTACCTTGTCAGTCCACCTTGTAGATGTAAAGTCAGAGACGATAGCTCATCTGCTGCTGCACAGTTTGCGTTGGTCATCCTCTAGTCCTTCATCAGTGGTCACAGGACACTGCCCACAGGACGCTGTTGGCTGGATATTTTTGGTTGGTGGACTATTCTCAGTCCAGCAGTGACACTGAGGTGTTTAAAACTCCAGCAGCACTGCTGTGTCTGATCCACTCAGACCAGCACAACACACACTAACACACCACCACCACGTCAGTGTTACTGCAGTGCTGAGAATGATCCACCACCCAAATAGTACCTGCTCTGTGAGGGTCCTGTGGGGGTCCTGACCACTGAAAAACAGGGTATCAGCGTATGCAGAGAAACGGACGGACTACAGTCTGTAACTGTAGAACTACAGAGTGAAACTATATGGTCAGTGGAGCTGATAAGATGGACAGTGAGTCAAGATACAAGGAGGTGGACTTAATGAAGTGTGTATATTTGTAAGGCTTATTTATTGTTGGTGTTTCATCTGCTTTAATTATTGATATCTTCTGGACTTTCATTGACCAGTTAGTCAAATTCTTTAAAAAACTCCAGGTGATCTGAGCCCATTTGTGTCATGTTACCTGGCCCAACTGTCTTTTATTCATCTTTTATTTATTATTAGTAGTGTTTACATTTTTGAATGAATTATTCTTTTAATTTAAAATTATTAGAGCTCTCTAAACCTGGGGGAGCACGTCTGTAGAACTCTCCAGCCCACAGTTCTCTACAGTTTTATCTGCTTCTTCCTTACAGAACTTCAACATCTACAAGCGCTTGTTCCTAGAGCTGATGAGTCTGCGCGACAGGGACAGCGCCGAGGCCTATCGGATGTGGGCCGACCTGAGAGATGTTCTGCACTTGCTGGTGGGTTATAGCATTGGTCAAAGTGAGAGATTCATTATTGTGAACTATTGTTTTTATATTGGTTAATGGAAAATTTGTCATTGTGATTTTTCTGACCAATTATAGTTGGTAAATAATTGGTATTAATAATTTAAATTGTGATTATTTTTTATAAATTAAGGCCCAGATCTGTTCTTTTGGCCAAGATGACCAGCATATCCACTTTCTCTGGCTTGAGGCTTCAACACTGAACATGATACACCAGACTAGTTAGTCGTGGTTGTGATGTCCCAACATGTCTGTGTTTGGTTGCTTCTGATTGGTGTAACTCATCTACAGGCAGTTCAGCAGCTTTGTGTAATTAGGATAAGCGTCCCCTGTTAAGGCAAAATTATTAATAGAGTATTTATAACTGCAGCTCTTTCAAATTTTGAGTTTGATATAAAAGCGATTAATCTTTCAGCCCTATGTTGGATCGAAGGTCAGAGTGTGACTGACTCTCGTTTTCTCTTGAGCAGTGTGAGAACCTGACAAAGTCCTCAGAAGCCAACTCTCCAGCCCACGAGGACTTTGAGCAGATGCTAGTGATATCTCACTATTACGCTACCCGCTCAGCAGCCAAGGGCATCGACCAACTGGTGAGTGTCTTTTTTATGAATATTGCTCCATAGTAACACTTCATTTTCATATGAATAAGATTATACAGAGTACAAAAAGGATCAGCAGTGAGCTTCTGTTAGCATTACAAAGCTGCTATAAAACACAACTAGAGATTCTTGTAATTGAATATTGCATTATTAAATGAAATATTGGCCTTTAGTATGTTGTGTCCTGTAATCTTAGCTGTGTGGATCTTACTTTATGTCCTTTTGAGGAGCCTCAGTGGTCAGAAAACTGTGCATAAATGGTGTAAAGTTTCTCATTTGTCTCTTGTTCCTGTCCAGAGTACTTTGGCGGCCAAGCTGTCCATTTCGCTGCTCAGGCACACAGAGTTCATTCCAGCAGACAAGGCTTTTTATGAGGCAGGCATGGCTGCCAAGGTGAGCCCCCAGTAGGCCCCCCAGTACTCCAGCTATGAGTACTTACTCTCACTTTTAGCTGTTCATGTGATCATTTGTGAGTGATTTGATTTTAGCAGCTACATGCTCTGAATTTCTAATTCTAATAACAATAACCAATCATTTCCACTTTTTTGTGCCTAATACCAATATTTATTTATTTATTTATTTATTTATTTATTTATTTATTGTATTTACATTTTGAAACAAGCTCAATCTATTTGTGAAGTGCAGTGAATAGAAAGTTAAAACTGTAAAGGTTGAGCATTGATTAATCTTAAATAGCCATGATACAGCTAAATCAGACATGAGGTTTATTGTAAACATTTAAATTATTTTATGTAAGGACCTTATTTAGTAGACTCTGTTATCCAGACACAGTTTCAGTTCAGATGTATGAAATGTTAGCAGTCGTTCCCAAGGACTCTTATTAGTGTAGCATTGGTGTTCCAGCCTAGATGGTTGCAGCGGACTGTAATCCCAGGATCAAACCAATAAAGTACTTTTATTTTCCTGTTTTAGTGGTGAATAAATCTAGATCAGCACTGGTATGTTGTGCACTTGTAGATTGCAGTTCTGAAAATGAAGAGATGCAACATTAGTTTTTTATTATTAGTGTTTTTGCTCTGGAGACATTCTGTTTTTGATCTGCTCCGTCTTTTCTTTACAGGCTGTTGGGTGGGAGAACATGGCCTTTATTTTCCTCAACCGCTTCCTGGATTTGGCGGATGTAAGTTACATTCAGACGTCAGACTGTGAAGCTCGTTGACTGAGCCAGACCATGAAAACACAAAACTGAAGCACAACTATTTCTGCTAAACTTTACTTTTGTCTTTTTATGTTTTTATTAATCTCAAACCTTTAAACTGCCTTTCAAATGAAAAATCGACCGAAACAGTTTGGGCAGTGCTGTGTTGGCTTGTTTTCACAGGGTATTGATGAGGGGACGCTGGATGCCTTAGACCACACAGATTTTCAGGACACAGACATTCCTTTTGAAGTCCCGCTGCCGTCTAAGCTCCACGTCTCTGTAAGTGCTAAAATCTTCTGAATTAGTGGTGCGATATGTCAACATAAGCCCAACAGTCTGTAAACACCTTTTCATCCAGCGTCTCTTATGAAATCAAAGGTATTGATAAGGCAGTGACTGACTGCATTCAGCTACAGGAGCATTAGTGAGATCAGGTGCTGTTGCTGGATGATTAGTTCTGGATTGCAAACATCACTCCAGCTCTTCGAAAAGGTATTGGACAGTCCTGCATCACTCCAGGGAACACAGTTCCACTGTTCCACAGCTCAAGCTGGGCGGCTTTGTACCCCTCAAACTGATACATGGCATTGGACATGGTGACCTTGGGCTGCTCCAGAGCTCCAGAGCGTCCTGTTCTATTGGCAGTGCTTTCATAACCAGATTATAGTTTTGGACATTTAGTGAATCAGATCGGGGCACATATTGTTATGCATTCTGGAGCCATATTTATATAATTTGTAGAAAAATGTCGATACAAACTGTGATTAAAATCATGTAGTATGTACATTTAAATAAGATGTGCAGTTCTCAGGAATCTTCAAAGCATGCGTGGTGTAATTATGACTCTAAAGTACATGGTTAAATTTGATGCTATTGAAACACACAGAATATGACTGCTGTCTGAATTTACCACAGCTCGACAACATTAACTGAAATTTTTATCTCTTCAACTTCAAATGATACCTTACATGGCTGTCTGCCTTTCAGGCACCAACAGGTCTACCTCTTCACAGAACTGGCCTTTCACAGGCCCTTCACAGCACACTGGCCTTTTCAGCGAATGTAATATGGTGTCTGGGTTCTTTTAGAAATGCTACATTATGGCATTTTTGGCCATTATAAGACTTTAGCCTTTCTAAAATGACAAAACCACACTTTCATTTTTTTTTTAATTTCCAGTCAAAATGACCTTTAAGTACATTATTTTTTACTCTGGTAAAAGTCAAAGGAAAATAAGTGAAAGAACCAAATTTTCCAAATTCCAAAAAATTATTTGAAGATATAGAGAAAATGGGACTCTGAACAACCGTGCAGAACCTGGTAGGCCCTCAAAACTCTCTCAGAATGAGAGGATTTGAAGCTTTAATCTGGAAGAAAATCAAGCTCCACTCTTTCTTCAGATCTGAAAACATCCACTGATATTTCTGTTCATCCTTCACTGTGAACACAGCTCAACACTCTGAGACTGAAAGGATGTGTAGCTGTCAATAAGCTGTTACTGAAAAAAGGAAATAGACAAAATAAAAAAAAAAATCAAGAAGTCCAGACCTCCACATCACTGAATGTGTTTGGGATTATTTGGATCATGAGAAACAGAAAATACAACCAACTTCTAAGGTGTAGAAAATTATTCCTGCAGATTTCTTTGAAAAACTGAAAGAAAGTCTCCTGAAAAGAGTAGAAGCTGTAATGAAGCTAAAAGTTGGACACACCAAATACAAAAACAACATAAATAATATTTAGTTGTTGAGAATTCTGTGTAATTTTCTGTTAAATATGTTTTATGTTTTTTTTCCTGATTGTTATAAAATGAATGACTTGTACTTGAGGGCCATTTTGACGGGAAATTAAACTAATGTTAGTGTGTGTTGTGCTGGTAAGAGTGTATCAGACACAGTTTAGTTCAGTTTAATTCATTCAAATGTAAATTTACAGGACCGCTGCACATTAATAAACATTTCTCCAAATGTGCTAGTTTAACCAGTTCGGCTAATTCTCAACTGTAGTTCCCGGGCGGGTATGAAAGGACAAAGACACTCATAAATTAAATAAAACATTAGTGATGCATACAGCAAAACAAGAACAATATGAGACAACATGTAAAATGAAACATGATGCCAGCTGCTAAAGTGTTTTACATACTATGATGACCTTTAGCCTTGCTTGGATTTCTAAACACTTTGGTGAATAATCTGTCAACCAAAAAATATCCAGATAACGGTGTTCTGATGGTCTGAAACTGACCACTGATGAAGATCAAGGGTGACTGTCACAAATTTTGCACGGAAAAATATTCTGGTCTAACTGTTCATCTACAAGGTGTCTAATAAAGTGTCCAGTAATTGTACACAATATCTGAAAACCCCAGCAGCAGTAATACTCCACTACCATGTCAGAGCTGTGCTGAGAGATCTGAGAACCACCCAAATCTGGTCTGGTCAGCTGTGGTCCTGTGCTGCTAAGAAGTCGGTGTATGTAATAACTAGTATCCAACATTCATTTTTTTCGGCCACTGCTGTCGGTGGCATTACCTGTGAAAGTTCAGCTCTTGACCAAATGCTCTGCTGACCGCTGCAGTGCGCTGCCATCGCTGTGAGGGTGGCAGAACGTTTTGTCGCTGCTCCATTGAAAATAATGGAATATCTGGTTTAGAGAACCGTGTGTGTGATTTGCTGATTAAGTGGCGACTGTGTGTCAGGTGGAGAAGAGAGAAGAGATCAGGGATTGGGTTCTGACCGTATCCATGGACCAGCGGGTGGAGCAGGTCTTGCCCAGAGACGAGAGGGACACTTATGAGGCCTCGTTGGTGGCTGCCAACACCGGCATCCGCTCCCTGCCCTGCGTCATCACAGGTGAGGCTGTTCTGCATTAACATCAGCTCCTCACTGTGGGCTAAGGCAGGCGTTTCACTGGGCGATGTGGTGACCTCAGTGGTCATCACTGCTCATTAGGGATGCGCCGGATATGGACCATGACCTGATCATGTTTCTTGTGTTATATTTTAAAACATCATCGCCATACAGTCCTTATAATCCATATAAGGACCATTCTGCCGAATCAGTTCACATCTCAGTCCCACAGTAAAAATACGTAAATATAAATATAACAATGAAGTATTGAGACCTTAAATATTTACAGTGATTATGTTATTAAATATTTCAACCCAAAGCATTAATAGAGAAAGTAATAAGCTATTTAGAAGGTACTTTCTATTGAGAGGTGTTTTTCCCAAACTGCTAAATTTCAACTTGTGAAAATGTATTTTTTTATGTTGTTTTAAAAAGAGATCTTTGATTTCTTTTAAAGTGAAGTTGAAATATTTAGATTTATTTTTAAATAAAAAAAAAAACTATTCAAAAAATGCTCTTCCACATTGTTAATGTCACTACCAAAACATGAGTTTTAGTCTGTAGGTGGAGCTTATTTTAGCCACACCCCTGCATCCCTGTCCCTCCTGGCTACATGGTGAGCAGTTAGATCCCATTGTTTTGAAGTAAATTTGTCCCCAAGTCTGAAAATCAGTGTGGAACATTAGAATTGTCCCTACTGAAACAGTTTTATTCTACAATTAAGTAAATTTTATTGTGTTTTAGTAAATAATATTATGATTTTATGTGGTTTTATATTGTGCTGTGTTTCCTGGTCGTGTACTGGCTTGCGTTTTCGAGTTCTGCTCAGAATTAGCTAAAGTTGTCAATACCGAAATATTTGGCAGTTTCAGTGGTGTTATGAAAGTGTTATGATTGTTTTGATCGTGATAAAAAGTGATCAAATGGAATGTTTGATCATTTGCTTTAATAAAATAAACATAATTAAGGCACAGGGTCACTCAAAGCAGAAGAGCTTTAGTCTAAAGTTCTAGTTTGTCGAAGATCAAAAATGTGTTTCCTTGGTGACGTCACCTCAGTCTGTCAGCCCCTCCTCCATGTCAGTAGCTGTGCAGTCTACAGGTTTTAATCGAGTTACATCACAGGGTCCAAATCAAAGCCAATTAAAGCCAAATTAGACTAACAAGTAAGGAAACCTACTGGGTTCCCCGTGTGCATGTGCTGCTATTGCAGAGGGTTAAAACAGCATTTATTTCTCTCCTTTCCTTTTAGACACCCAGAGGTGTGTGTGTGTGTGTGAGTGTGTGTGAGTGTGTGTGTGAGAGTGTGTGTGCGTGTGTGTGTGTGTGTGTGTGTGTGTGTGTGTGTGTGTGAGTGTGTGTGTGTGTGTGTGTGTGTGTGTGTGTGTGAGTGTGTGAGTGTGTGTGTGAGAGTGTGTGTGAGTGTGTGTGTGTGTGTGTGTGTGTGTGAGTGTGTGTGTGTGTGTGTGAGTGTGTGAGTGTGTGTGTGAGAGTGTGTGTGAGTGTGTGTGTGTGTGTGTGTGTGTGTGTGAGAGTGTGTGTGTGTGAGTGTGTGTGTGTGTGTGTGTGTGTGTGTGTGTGTGTGTGTGTGAGAGTGTGAGAGTGTGTGTGTGTGTGTGTGAGTGTGTGTGTGAGAGTGTGAGAGTGTGTGTGTGTGTGTGTGAGTGTGTGTGTAGCAGCACGTCTTAAGGGAGCTGCTAATTGGTTCACAGACTCTTTTTAATGGAATAATTTCTCTTTCTCTCTGTCTCTCTCTCTCTCTCTGTGTCTCTCTGTCTCTCTCTCTCTCTCTGTGTCTCTCTGCCTCTCTCTCTCTCTCTGTCTCTCTCTCGCTCTCTCTCTGTCTGTCTCTCTCTCTGTCTCTCTCTCTCTGTCTGTCTCTCTCTCTCCTTCTCTCTCTTGCTCGCTCTCTCTCTCTTTCTCTCTCTCTCTCTCTTTCTCTCTCTCTCTCTCTCTCCCTGTCTCTCTCTCTCTCTGCTGGTCAGGTTATCCTGTCCTCCGCAGTAAAATCGATTTTAAGAGACCAGGCATGGCGGCCAACAAGGACGACTGGAATAAATTCCTGATGGCGACGAAGGTGAGAAGCAGCTGTTTTTTTATTCTGCCGTTTGTCGTCCTTCAGCTGCTTCAGCTCTTTATTCGTAATAGATTTACTTTCTGAAACCCATGCGTTGATTTTGTGGATGTATTTTCATTCTTTCCCCCATTGAAACTGTTTTTATGAAGCCGCTGACTATAATAGTGGGATCGTTTAGTATTTCTGGGTCTTAAAGGCTACAGGATTTTCTCATCATGATTTAAGTTTAATTTAGTGAGGTTATAAAACAGTAAGTTGCACATGTTGTTTTATAAATAAGCAGTAATAAATATTTTGAATTGCAGTACGAATTTATATCTCCAAAATGGCGGCTTTACAAAAACTTTCTTTACTTTTCATATAAGAGGTTTTGTTCTAAGCAGTTTTTGGAGCATTTCTATTGGTTCTTCGTGACATTTTTATGCAGTGTAAAGAACAGCTGCTGTGTAGAAATGTAGGAATGTAGGAAATGTAAAAAAAAATGTAGAAATATTTTTAAAACAATCCAAAAACAACAATAAGTATTCTGTGCACCAAAACACCGAACCCTAAACCCCTCAGTGAGCTGAATCAGTGTGCTGGTCTGAATAGTTGAAACTGGGCAGCGCCGGGGTCACAGGACTGAAGTTTGACCCTCTGTAATGGAGTAAATGAGTCAGATGCGTAAATAATGCTAAAAATTGATGAAAATTGAGGCCCATTTTTTACAGTATTCACAAAAATTTGTGCATGTACAGTTTTATTTATTTGTTGTATATTTTCAGCATGAAACATTCGGAATGAAAGGAAAAACATTACAGGTCAAATATTGAGTTGGAAATGTAATTTATCAACTAATTAAATCTCATTATAGGGCTTGATTTTGTGGTGTGATGGTGATTTTTTATTGTTTTAGTACTGATTGACATTTCATTGACCCTTATGATGTTCCAGACCAGCTGTCATTACTGAGATGTTGATTGACCGTTGTTTATTTCCTCCTGCAGACCACTCACAGTCCAGAGTGTCAGGACGTCCTGAAGTTTATCGCCCAGTGGTGCGGGGGTCTTCCATCAGCCGGCTACTCCTTCCAATAAGATAACTACTTCCTCTCTCTCGCCCTCTCTCTCTCTCTTTCTCTCTCTCTCCCTCTCTCTCTCTCTCTCTCTCTCTCTCTCTCTCTCTCTCTGTCTTCCTTTTGTTTTCCTCTTTCACTCCCACTCCCCACCTGCTCCATTCAGACGTTTAATTTGCTTTACACTCTGCTGCTTCGAAAAACAATATGCTCCTCTTCTCCTCATCCGTTCTGCTTTTGTTACCTGTTAAATTCTTTGAAGGTCCATTTCTTTCATCTGCTCAGTTCATTTCGACTCCTGCAGGTCATGAAGGCGTTGTTTTTGTTTTATTTTAGTATATATGTGTGAATGCATGTACACGTGTACTGATCTCTGATGGTAACTTCAGTATACCTGCAGCCTTTGACTTACCTGCCTAAAGTAGGCCTCAGTCATATAAAGCTCCTATAAAATATTTGGGTTCTTGCACATCTATATACACATTTGTATATTTATATATTAACATTAAATAACCAAATAAAAGATTAGTATTTCATCAAGACTCTCAGTGTTATTATTACATTTTACAATAGCAAATTTGTGGCTGAAAACAAACATGAAATGCTTTTGAGTACTGAAGTATTTTAAGACTAATGGTAAAAGAAAAACAGTGTAATTGTGAAATGCAGAACTGTGCAAAGATACATAGAGCTGTTTATCTGGGCGGTCAGCTTTTATTAGTCTGAAAAACACTAAGAACACAAAAAATACCAATAAACAGATAAACAAGACGCTGTAATGTGGTGTGTGAGTGTTTTAGCTGAACCATTTCTAAATCTCTTTCTGAGGAAATGCAGTATTTCCAGTTACTGTCCAAAACCTGCTTCAGCTGAGCACAAAGCCGCCCAACGTCTGGAGCGAAGCGCGACGTCAGGAACTAAACCTGTGTTCCTCTGACTGTATTCTTCTGTTCACCACCATTAATAACTTAACTAAAAACTAAAATGATATATTTTACTGTAGTTATTCTTATTTGTATTGAATTTAATATTTTAGTGTTTTACTGACAAAAACCGAGAATAATTTTCTTGGCTGCCTAAGACTTTTGCACAGTACTGTATGTATAAAACTAGAACATAAAATCGTTTTTATCATTTTCATTGCTGAATGATTCACAGTCGCCCCCCAGAATTCCCGCAAACATGTAATATTTGTCGAGCTTTAATTGAAATATTGAACGTGGAACAAATGTAAGGCGGCAAACGGCCTCGTCAAACGGCGCCCTCTTGTGGACGTCAGCGTGTCATTGCGCATGATCTGCTAAAGGCCCTGTGCATCAAACATCAGCAGCTCATTCATTTCTCTCATCCTGGTTATTACAGCCATATGCGCGTTAATACACGGTTTAGTCAGGTTTAAATGAAGAAAGTATGAAATTCGTGCATCACAATAAAAAGTGAAGTTATGTGGTGTAAATCGGGCGGTTTCAGTCCCTCCTCGGGTTCGACTGCGCTGCTGTTTGGGTTTCAGCTTTTTGGCTTATTAAAAACCAGCTGACGCTCCTGCGAGTCTTCATATTTCATATTTCCTCCTGTTTCCCTTAGTAGATGTTTCCGCTGCGGCGCCTCAGACTGTGTGAAGCTTTAACGGCGACCTGGTTTTTCCTCCCCGGTGCGGCCGCGGACTGAAACGGACAGATGAACTTTAAACGTGGCGATAAAGTCGAGCTGCAGCTTCAGACGCGGCTGCATGCTGGACGCGTTAAGGGTCGAGTTCAGGCCTGAGGTTCGGCCTCTTTACCGGAGCGTTAAGCGACGTTAATCCATCTCTCAAACATTTCCCCGGGATTTTTCTACAACACAGACATTTAAACCCCGATATTATTGTTTTTCTTCAAATTGGAAAAAAAAATCATTTATAGGCCTTGTTTACTTTAGCGACTCCACGGCTACATTTAAGGCACCTAATTACTATTTACTAATTACTAATTAAACCGTGAAAAATATCCATAATAATAATGATAGTAATAATAATAATAATAATAACGATATTATTATTATTATTATTATTATTATTATTACTACTAATAATAATAATGATAATAGTAATAATAGTAATATGTGGACATGTTGTGAGAAGAGCACCAAATGATGAACAACCGTTACAGTGGCTCCGTCCCAAATCGCATACGACCACTCTACACAGTACAGGGCGCAGCTGTGGGGACGGCACAGATTAGTGCACGCTGTCCGGTGCGGGGTCTGCGGTTGAGGACGCGGCCTGTCAGGATCAGAACCTCATAGCCGCCGTGCCGCTTTATGGGCGCCGCTAATTTCTCTGATGAGTTACGCTAAAAACCGCTCCGCGGCGAGACGCTGCGCAAAACTGCACACTGTGCTGATGAGCGCCGCCTGATGGAGGCTGACCTGCTGTTGACGGTATTCTGCGGTTTCTGTCGCCCGAGTTTAGTGCCGGTTTTAAAGGTGAGCCTCACGCGCTGGTTTGTAACCTCAGCAGGCCGGAAAGGCCGGAGAGACTCAGGGCGCTCGGCTCGGCTCGGTTCGGCTCGGCTCGGCTTTAGAGTTTATTAGAGTTGATTTTTATTGGATCAGTCGAAGCTTCAGGAAGCCGCTGTTTCTTCTTCCTCTCCTTCCCTCTTTGTCCCCTGCCGGTCGGGGCGAATGTGTGTGTGTGTGTGTGTGTGTGTGTGTGTGTGTGTGTATGTGTGAGTGAGAGAGAGTGTGTGTGTGTTTGTGTGTGTGTGTGTATGTGTGAGTGAGAGAGAGTGTTTGTGTGTGTGTGTGTGTGTGTGTGTGTATGTGTGAGTGAGAGAGAGAGTGTGTGTGTGAGAGAGTGTGTGTGTGTGAGAGAGTGTGTGTGTGTGAGTGAGTGTGTGTGTGTGTGTGTGAGTGAGAGAGAGAGTGTGTGTGTGTGTGAGTGTGAGAGAGTGTGTTTGTGTGTGTGTGTGTGAGTGAGAGTGTGTGTGTGTGTGTGAGAGAGAGAGAGTGTGTGTGTGTGTGAGTGAGAGAGAGAGTGTGTGTGTGGTAGTGTGTGTGAGTGTGTGTGTGTGGTAGTGTGTGTGTGTGTGTGTGTGTGTGTGGTAGTGTGTGTGAGTGTGTGTGTGGTAGTGTGTGTGTGTGTGTGTGTGTGTCTGAAAGGCCTTGATGATTTAAGTCAAACACACCGGATCGTCCACCTGTACAGAGTTTCGTTTGGCGGTTTGTGCTCTCCGCGCTCTCCGTTCTCCGCTCTCCGCTCTCCGCGCTCTCCGCTCCCCGCTCTCCGCTCTCCGCTCTCCGCGCTGCGGGTGTAAAGTCGTTCCTCGCGGCTCTGGGGGTAACACCGGTCCGGCCGGGGCGAAGCTCAGATATGGGTGTAATTATAAGGTGTGACAGTCACAGAACCCTAAACCAGAGAGGCATCCCATTACCCCCCACTGCCAGATCGACCCCTGATGATAATAATATACTAATATTTTAGCTTTAATTCGAACAGCAAACTGGCTTCAGTAGCAGTAACGGATTAGCAGCGTTAGCCTCGCGGATGACCTTGAGAGCGGAGTCGGTGCGCGCGCTCGGAGTTTCTGGCGAATGTGCCGAGAACAAACAGGTCAATAATCGTACACAGACTGAGCTTCTGCCATATCCCGCTGTGCTTCGAGTTCTGTGTCGGGTCCTCTGCCGGATGGTCAGCAGGCCTGTCCGACCACGTCCGATCTCCGGTGTTAAAGCCAGCTCTGTGTCCGAGTTTAAAGCCGGCTTAACTTCATTAATGAGTCATAAACGTTCAGAAACACCGCGAAACGCCGTTTTTCGTCACATATTTAACGCAGGCCTGTTTACATGTTGCTCAGACCCCTCCGTGTGTTCCACAGCGGACCCCCGCGCGCAGCTGCTCCAAAAATAAATAAATTAATAAATTGACATTTTTACCACATAAATGTCGATGTCAGTCTCAGAGCCCAGCGGCTCCTCTCGCCGTTTTTACTGAATTAAACTAAACCGTTTTCGCTCCAACACCGTGATTAATAATCTTCATCCTCTTTGATGTAATTACAGGTGACATAATGAGCTCGGCGGATATCGAGGCGTGAACAAATGAAGTTAATATCTGAATATGTTGTATATTCTGCGTTTATTGACAAGCTCGAAATAATCACATTAAGCTCATTAATCAAAACATGACAGAATGTGCGGAACATGTTTTCCCTCCTGCTGAAAGTCAGGATTCAAACCTGATGGTGTTGCTTTCTAATATGAATTGGCTCAATGGTTTCCAATAGAGACCACTAGTATCCTGTAGGACATCTTTAGATCTATTAGGAAACCATCAGGTGCATTTAGAATCTGTCATTGATCACCTGATGAACCATTAGAGTCCTTAACACTGTGTTATCAGTACATTAAAAAGCCCAAACACATTACAAAACCATCAAAACACACAATGGGTTTCCGTGTTTTTCCAGCAGGGCTCGCGGGGACGAACATCATCACTTAAGACTGAAACACCGCGCTGTTCGCTGTAATGTCATTCCTGAACAGGCCGCGCGACCCAGGCAGGCGGTCAAAGCACTGTTCTCTGTGTTTATAAACGGCACAAACAGGCGCGAGGCGAGGGGGCTGGACAGGCTGCCGCCATGCAGGGCGATCCTGCGCCGCAGTGATGAAAAGGCAGCTTCAGAAACGGATCCTAAGCCCAGTGACCCCTCACAGCCCGCGGGTCAGTGGACTGAACTTCATGGACGACATGAAAATGAAATGTGATGCGTCATTGCGCGCTTTAACCGCCGGAAGTCCAGCCCGAAGCCCGGAGTCGTTAGAGGGGCCGGGATGTTAGACTGTCGGAGT